GGGCAAAAGGGGGGAGGGGGAACACCCCTCAAAGATGGGGGTGCGAGGGTCACCACGAGAGGCTCCTACAGCGACTATGCTCTTCTCTGCTGCTAGGAGGGACTTCTCGAGGAGGTCAACGGTGAGAGTGGTGGGGCAAACGGAGAGGAAGTGGTCCCTGACTACGCGAAGGGAGTCAGGGAGCCGGGTGACTATGTAGTAGAGGGTGATGTACATGGGGGGGGGGTTCTTGGCGCAGAACTCAGCAGGAAGCGCAGCGCGGTAGCGAGTGTCACTAGTGCGGAGGTGCGTAATGAGGTCAGCGACTGTGGGAAAGGCAGCAAGGTCAGGGAAGAGGTACGGTAGCATGAGGCGGCTCAGTGCAGCAGTGGCAGGGGAGGAGTAGCGCGCAACTACAGCGTCGTACAAGGTCTGAGCACTCTTGTACTGGCTAAAGTGCGCACGCTCAGAGGTAGGCAGGTGGCGACGCACAGCAAGACGTGCAGCAGCATCTCGAGTGGCCCACTGGGAGCGAACAGTGGCGTCGGCATCAGCAGCAGGGGCAGGAGAGGCACCAGAGGTGAGGTCAAAGAGGGAGAGACCGTCTGCCCTATCGCACTGTAGGAAAAGCTGCAGGTCATCTACCCAGACGTCAAAGTCAATGGCCCTACCCTCAGCGTCAAAGGCGAGGACACTAGGGGTAGCCATGACAGCAGTAGACTAGCAGCGCTAACAGTAGGGTGAGGGCAGTGCAGGGACAGAGGCGCTGCACTTACCGGACAGGGCGACTCGGGTGGCTCAGCTGCTCGGCGGCTCGGCAACTCGGCGGCTCGGGCGGCTCGGGCGGCTCGGGCGGCTCGGCGGTACGGCGGCTCGGCAGCAAGCGCGGCTCGGCGACACGGCGGCTCGGGCGGCTCGGGCGGTACGGCGGCTCAGGCGGTACGGCGGCTCGGCAGGCCCGGGCGGCTCAGGTGGCGCGGCGAGGCCGCGTGGGGAGCGGCGGCGGGGCCGAGTGGAGCGGCGTCGGCGGGTGCAGTCAGCTGCGGCAGCAGCCGCTGCCCCGAGGGAGGTGGTGGCGGCTGCTGCTGGCGACGGCTGCGGCAGGGACGGCGGCGGCCGCTGCGGTAGGGGCGGCGACAGTGGGCCGGAGAGGGCGGTGCGAGGGGCCGCGTCGCGAGGAGCCGCGGAGGGCGGCGACGGGCCGTGAAGGGGCGGTGCGAGGGGCCGCGGAGGGCGGCGACGGGCCGTGAAGGGGCGGCGCGAGGGGCCGCGGAGGGCGGCGACGGGCCGTAGGGGGCCGTAAGGGGCCGCTGAGGGGGTGCGAGGGGCCGACGGGCGGCGCGAGGGGCCGTAAGGGGCCGTAAGGGGCCGCGCGAGGGGCCGTAAGGGGCCGTAAGGGGTCGTAAGGGGCCGCGCGAGGGGCCGTAAGGGGCCGTAAGGGGCCGTAAGGAGCCGCGCGAGGGGCCGTAAGGGGCCGTAAGGGGCCGACGGGCCGCGCTAGGGGCCGTAAGGGGCCGTAAGGGGCCGCGCTAGGGGCCGTAAGGGACGGCGCGAGGGGCCGTAAGGGGCCGCTAAGGGCGACGCGAGGGGCCGTGAGGGGTCGTGAGAGGGCGCGACTGTGGGAGCGAAGCGCGCTCCGGGCAGGAAAAAAAAAAATTCGTGGTGGGCCCTAGGAAGCGTTCCCACTAGGGAACCTGCTCGATACCATGAGAAGAAACAAGGAATGAATGAACTATGAATGAATTGGGTACAAGTACTAACCCTAATTGGGTTGTACCCCTTATAGGCTACCCCACTATAGCCTACACAATATGCATGAGCTATAATGTTCTGACAGCTTGCTCAACTATCATGTAATTTCGACTTTGCTAGTGGAAACTCTTGCCGATATCTCGCGTGAATGTGCAAGCACTAAGGAACTAAGCAAGGCTACGATCACTCCTAGTAATTCGTGCCAACCCCCGTAGTCTAGCTCACTACCGTTGTCGAGTGAATCTCCGCAACGGCACCGCGTGTCGCACAGTCCTATCCTTGTACAGTTCTCGCTGCTCAGTTGTTTGAAACACCATATCTTCATACCGGATGCTGCGAACGACTCCAAATCGGTTCAGCATACTTACAATATAGTAACTGAATGTTTGATGAAGATAAACATTGTTTAAAAAAGCTGTCCTCCCGTGCTGTTCCCTACGTCTTCCTTGGCTTCCCCCCTGACGCGCCTGGTTGGCAGTTTTACCACCCCACCTCGCGCCGTGTTCTGTCCTCTCAGGACGTCACGTTTGACTTCGTCACACATGGTGCAGCAGGTCCTTCAGCGCTTCAACTTCACGTACTCCTCACCTCAGGCCACTCCTCTGTCTACTCGCCACTCGCTCTCAGCTCTGCCTTCGAATGAGTCCGTAGAGCCGAGTGGCCCGTACCCAGAGCTTGTTGGCTGCCTCATGTACCTGATGACCTGCACTCGACCTGACCTGGCATACCCTCTTAGCATCTTGGCACGCAATGTTGCTCCTAGGAGACACCGACCAGAGCACATGGATGCAGCTAAGAGGGTGTTGCGCTACCTGTGCAGCACGTCGGGCATGGGGCTCGTGCTTGGAGGACGGGCTCGAGTTGTCCTCATTTGTCACGCAGACGCTTCTTGGGTTGACGACTTCGCTACGCAGCGGTCGTCATAGGGTTACACCTTCAGCCTTGGTTCCGGCTTTGTTTCGTGGCGGTCTACCCGCTCGTCCTCAATTCTCAGCTCCAGTTGTGAGGCTGAGATCTACGCTGGGGCCATGGCTACACAGGAGTTACGCTGGCTCACCTATCTGCTGACCGACTTGGGAGAGCCGCCTCGTTCTCCTCCAGTTCTGTACGTCGACAACAAGGTCATGCTGGCCTTGTGTTAGGAGCACAGACTGGAGCACAGAACAAAGCACATTGCTCTGCGCTACTTCCTTGCTCGAGAGTTGCAACAGCGTGGCCAGCTTCGTCTTGCTTACGTGGCCTCTCGGGCCAACACTGCTGATATCTTCACCAAGGCACTTCAGCCTTGTGATCACCAGCGTTTCTGTACTATGCTAGGTCTTGTGCATACCGAGCCTCACTTGCTTACTTCTTGACTTTGCTTGTACTGTGATCTATATATACCTGCATTTGCATACTTACCCTTGCTAGGTTGGGTTCACTGTCTTGCTTGTTCGTCTTGATTTATAATCCTGCATGTGAACTGGCCTTGTGGCCCTGAACTTGTGCTCAGAATGTGTGGTGACGTTGTGATCCACCATGAGTTTAGCCTTGCCTTGTTCTCTTGCTTGTCCCCCACTTTGCATATGGGGGTGTGTCAGAACTATACTGTAGGCTGTAGTGGGGCACTCCTTTTGGGGTACAGTATTGTTAGGTTTTGCCTATACAAACGTTGTACTGTCATCTTTCTAGTCATTCTCGTTTCCTACATTGTGACATATGAAACACTATATTTTCCTACCAAGTATGCGAATGGCATCAATTTTTTCCTGCACTATTGCAATAAAGTGAATATTTGATGTTAAAAGAACAAAAGGATTGCTAAAAGATTACATTATGCCTACGATACATTATCACATGTTGCTCAATCATTTCTTTGCACGATTTCTGCGCTCTATTCTTTGAGGCAATATCTGTTCCTAATAAATGGTCCAAGTGGCCAAATTCCAACACTAATATAATTGATCAAGATGCAGTGCAGTCCGTTACGTTGTGCATGCAAATGCATGACTTCGTTAGCATATCAGACAAATCTCAACAATAATTTCTAAGGGACCGGGGTGTAAGTAGTACAACATCAATACAGAAGTCTTTCCACAAACATAGGGGTGTATATTTGCACCATTGTATGCTCGTTTGAGTGTACGGATAGTTTTATCTATATTTTTGATTGAAAGTGATTGTTGATTGGTTGAATTCTATCATACATGTATTCTTTACAAAAACTATAGACAATGCACTCGTAAATCTCACCATGGGTAGGCTTGTTGTTTGATATTGCGTATAATTGTCATCATTTGTGACAATCTGTTTGTTTCATTTTCGACTTTCAAAATTGGGTCTTAATATAGTTTGGAGAAATACGTGGGCATGTCTTCGGCTTGAATATTGTGTACACATGGTTCGAGAAACTGCCATGCTGTTCCATACAGCTGTGCTGTTCGAGAAACTGCCGCGCTGGCAGCAGCGCGGTTCGCCGGTGCGAATGTCGAGTACAGTTGCGCATTTCTGTATCCCTCCAGCACACGTTTGACTAGGTTCATTCGACTTCCAGCTGCGCTGGTAGTCTAACGAGCCTTTCAGGTCTGCCAACGCACACGGGGAACTGATTTCAACAAATCAGGTTCCTCTGTGCCATCTGCGCCAGCGCAACTCCTGCCATGTAATTCCAGAACATCCCTTGCGGTGCGTGAACTAGTCCGAGGGTGCAGTGGTGGTTTGTGTGGTTCAGACAAAAGGCGAACCTAAGTTTCTCGTTATCTACTGCCCGTTTCGAAATTGAGCAGAAACCATATGCAATAAGTTGTGTGTCACGTAAATTGTTGTCAGTGAAAGTTTTTCTTGGCCGACTTTTGGTTTCTTTTCCTTCCCAGACAGGCCAACTCGACCTCCCTCTCCCACTTTCCTGGAGAGTCACACCCCCAGCAGTCTTCCCTGTTCCCTCCCTTCCATCTTCCCACCTCGCACTCCTGTTTTTCAGCATACTGTACCTACCCCGTCCTTCATTATTCAGTTGTTTCTGCTCTGTTGGTATGTCTGCCCTCGTCTGCCTGCTAACCCCGACTTCGCCTTCGCCTTCCGCTGCTCTAGTTTTCTCGATTCCAGGTGCGACTGCGCTGTCTTACCGTAAGCCCTTCGTAGGTGTTTCGAATTTCCTGGGAGTATTCTCCCGTTCGTCGTTTTCGACTGATATGCATGGTTAGGTCACTTGTTCGCGCCGACCAGACGATGGTAAACTCATTTTCCTTCTCTGTTTTCACATCTTTTTTTTGTTTTTTTTTTCCCTTCACATGTTTGTAAACCTTACGGAGCCCCCTGCATTGGAGATGTGCATTCTGCCAGCCAGCAAGGTGCGGGCATCTCCCATCTGCCTTCGGTTGCGGCGCTGGTACGAACTGTTGTAACCACCCAGTGAGCTCAGCATGACTTATTTTGTTGTCTTCGTTTTTTTGCAGGTTATGACATGTTCAGCGACTGACGACGCTGTCTAGTCTTCACGAACTGCACATAAGCCTGCTGTTTCTTTTTCTCTGTGTTCTCAGTCACTGTTATCGTTCCTGTTGTGCAGCACCTTTTCAAGAAGTCGTTTTTTCACTGCTCCCGCGGATTATTTAGTCATTATCTTCATGATCCTGGAAGATACATTTCATTTGTGCAATCCTTTTTCTGCGTGTGATACTTCGTTTGATTTGGGTAGTTGTGCAGCAAGTAAGGTTTCTGGTATGTGACAAAATATTCGTTTATAAAATTATTTCTGTTCATCAAGTAATGTTCAATGTTCGATGTTGGAAAATATCAATATAAGTTTAAATAATGGATTCAATTAATATTGAGATTTCGGATTATAAGGAGTGTCCTGGGAATTGTGCTTTGGGTTCTGGTTATTTTCCTTGTAACATGTTACGTGGTAACTCGTTAACCTAATGGTTTTTTTTTGTATGAATGATGAATCGCCTGAATATATAACCGAATGAGTAACCAGTAACGCGTTTCCGTTTCGAAAGCTCGATGTCGCCAGCCAATCACTTCTTCGTTCATTTACCCGTAAGATTCGTGTGCCTAGTTGACACCTGGCGAAATCCACCAATTGGATCTCGAGCTAGTGAACTGACCCATCCAATGCGCGCGTTACACATATGCGACTTGAAGAGGCAGAACATTCGAACTTACGGGAGAGTAACATGGGCACATCAAATGCGGGCGTTACACGTATGCGAGGCGCAGTGATTTCACACTCGAACTTACGGAAGGGTAGCTGTTTTTCTGATTGAGATGTGCGGCTAGGATTTGTCCGCCAATTTGCGTGAGTTTCGAAGTGTCAATTGGGCATGTCTTTGAGTGTCATTCAAGTATGGCCTGTGCAACCAACTGTCGGGTTAATCTTAGGAATCTCTTCAGTAACTTCCTGAGCCCCTCTTTCTTGCGATGTGGTGATGGTGATGGCGATGGGTGATGGCGATGGCGATGGTGATGGTGATGGTGATGGCGATGGCGATGGCGTTGGCGATGGAGATGGCGATGGCGATGGCGATGGGGATGGGGATGGCGATGGTGATGGCGATGGTGATGGTGATGGTGATGGTGATGGCGATGGTGATGGGGATGGCGATGGCGATGGCGATGGCGATGGCGATGGGGATGGGGGTGGCGATGGCGATGGCGATGGCGATGGTGATGGTGATGGTGATGGCGATGGCGATGGGGATGGGGATGGCGATGGCGATGGCGATGGTGATGGTGATGGTGATGGCGATGGCGATGGTGATGGTGATGGCGATGGTGATGGCGAGTCGTCCACGAGCATCATGATGCCGCTCTCGCCCGTCGCTTCTCCCTTCAGCTCGCTCCCCCGTGTCTCTCTCGCTCCTCATGTCGCACTTTCGACTGCCATTCACCCTTCTCCCTTCCTCCGTTCCGCACGTGCCGTCGTGTCGTGCAACGACCCTCACACCACACTCACCACTTCCCCTCACGTCCGCTCACATGCCCTCTCATGCACCACCTCCCCTCACATGGTCAACTTTAAAGATTCGTGATAAGCAGCCCCACTCCCTGCGCTTCCCGCCTCTCCGCCTCCCCGCCCTCCACGTCGAGGCGCAAAGGGTAACAGCCCGGGCCTTAAAGCACTGGGCGAAACAGCCCTCGCTACGTCCGCTGCCTGCATACGCGTCACACTGTCACAGTGCTCCTTGCCGTCTGCGCAATGATTCAAGGCACCGTGCTGCTTTTCCCGCAGATGTGCCATCTGCCACAAGACTCTTGGCGCTCACCTGAGTCTATTGCCCATGTGCGTTTTGCCTACTTCTACAATTTCCGCCCTGTCCTCTCTCCTCCCTGGAGCGCTTCCGCCTTTCCATGCCGCCGCTGTAGCAACAGCGGAGTAGCAACAGCAGCAGCAGCCGAAGCGCCCGCTGCAGCTGGATGCTGATGTGGACTGCAGCAGGGACAGCAATGGGGCGATTGGAGGTGACGAGCGGCCGGCGAAGGTGCAGACAGGAGCGCTGGCAGGCGTGGCTCGTATGAGGCGAGGAGATGGGTGGGGAGACAGGACAGGAACAAAGGAGCAGACAGGAGCGAGTGGAGAGATGGGGCAGGGGCACAAGCAGGCGGCATTGGGGCACTGTGAGGCGTTGGCATGTCAGCGCGATGCACCGAGGTCGGATGACGCAAGGGGACGAGGGAGGGGGGGGCATGGTTGGGTGAAGCAGGTATGCATGCGTGCGAGGCGGACTGCATGGCGGAAGGAAGGAACAGGCAGCAAGCAGGTGGCGCTGTTGCTGCTGCTGCTGCTGCTGCTGGCTCTTCATCTGCAGTGATGATCTGTGTTGCAAGGCATATGAGGGATAGTTACTGCCCTCGCATAACATTAGGATCAAGAATAGGGTGCGCTCCTTTTTTCCCCCGCATCTCTTCTCCTTTTCCCCCGTCTTCTGCTTCCTCACCTCCAGAATGTATCCCCTCTTCTTCCCCTCGCCTTCAGTAACCCTGCACGTTCTGCAGCTCTCGTCGCCTGCCTCGTCCCCTTCCCCTCGGTCATCTCCACCCGCACCCTCTTCTCCCTCCTCCTTTCACCGTTCGATCTCAACCCCACCTTTCCTCGCCTCTCTTGCTTCTCATTCCTGTTCGCCATCCGCCTTCTCGAACCTCCTTCTCCCATCCTTTCCCCCCCTCCTTCCCCACCTCCTTCCCCCATTCCCTCATACCCTCCTCTGTCCCCTGTCCCTCCCCACCATGAGTCTCCTTTCCGCGTAGGGGGAGGCGCGAGGGTGGGCGCGGAAGGCGGAAGAGGCGGCAATTGCGCAGTACCTCCCGTGCCACTGCTGAAAGGCGGAACTGTGTGTGCAGGGGGGGGAATGGGCGGAAACGACGGTCGCTTGGGTGCTTGATACCGAGGAAACGGGGGGGGATGGGTTGAGCCTGATGCTGGCGGGGCAAGAGGGGATTGCGGAACAGGCGCAGCAGGGGGAGTGGCGGGGGGGGGATTGTGACCAAGAACCGCCTGGGCGATAAGGCGGAGTTGGGGGGAACGCGGAAGGTGGAGGAGGAAGGGCGTGTGGCGGAAGCGGACGAGGCGCGGGGGAGTACGCGGAAGGAGGCGGAACTGGTGCAAGGGGGGCGGGCAAAGGGGAAAAGAAGGGCAGTGCTGGAGGTGGAGCGGCCTTCGCGGAAGCAGATTCCGCGCCGAGTGCAGGCATCTCCTCTTCGAAGCGATCCAACTCGCTTAGAAGATGCGCCATGGCTGCTAGAACCATCCAGCTGGGTAATCTACCGGTAGTACCATAATAATACTGAACTACTAAATAATAGGAACGTGTACTGTAGTATACGCTACGCTCGCTTTAACTGTTTTATACATTGTATGAAGCTGACACTTTGGATAGCTGCATGGTCTTATCAAGTGCATGGTATGGTATCCGCGCTGATTTGTAAACACAAAAGGTTTTGTAAAAGACTAGATAAGGCTCTAGAATCTAGAGTTCTAGATACACCAGAAGAGCGGCTGGAATCAAAAGCAGCACAATGCAGAACGTGTTTCCAGCTTTGTAAGCAATAAACAATAGTAAGAAACACAATTTCAGATCTTTGTACGGGTATGTTACACGTCCAACTTTATGTAGTGCTAACAGATAGCCAACAAGATTACCGTACCTGACCCAGAGTACCGTAGCGTGAATGCAGAAGAAAGCTGTTAACTGAGAAAACACCATGCCAGATCATAATGCCTTTTTGCTGTTTTTGTTTTTTTGTGCAGCTGCTGGGCATGCTGTGTCTCTGCCTGCTGGCTAGCACCTCCAGAAGAGCAAAGAAGAAGGGCTGTGCTTGGGGGGCTCACCTCCTAAGGGGTTGACCTGTGTTGCTGCCTGCTGCCACACCTCCCCTGCACCTGCTGTGCATGCTTCTGCAAACGTCCACCTCTAAAAGAGCCCCGGCACGTCTACCTAGACGAGCACAGAGAGCACACGGAGAGGGCTGAGTTTTCACCTACTGGCAGGCTTTGATGGGATTAAAGCAGCGGGGCAGCAGGTGGGATCCTTGTGGTGGCATGGGAGAGGAGAGATGGCGAGGGGAGTGATGTGGGATGGCACATTCGTGCTCTTGTAATGTCTCTAGGGGTGAGGGTGCACAAGCAGCGGACCTGGGAGGACGAGAGAGGCAGGGAAACAAGGCGGTTTTGAGAGGAGATTGGGGACAGAATAAATGCAGCAGATGCACTCTGTATCCTGGGGTGATAGGACGCGAGGAGCGGTAAGACAGGTTTACGGAGAAAGTAGAATAACCATGCAGGATTATCATGTGTAGGAGCAGAGAGAACATTATAGGAGAGAGTCAAGGAGAAGGTAACATGGTCATGCGTGACTCGCTCTTATTCTCTCCACTACTTGCAAGACTTGCAAGAGGAATTGGAAACAATCATTCAAATCATGGTAAAGAGAATGATGAGGCATGATGAGGCATGATGAGGCATGATGAGGCATGGTGAGGCATGGTGAGGCATGGTGAGGCATGGTGAGGCATGGTGAGGCATGGTGAGGCATGGTGAGGCATGGTGAGGCATGGTGAGGCATGGTGAGGCATGGTGAGGCATGGTGAGCCCAGTGTGCTTAACACCCCCCTTCCTTACTCACAACCTCCTCCGCTCTCTCCACCACCAGCAGCACATCCGCTGTGTCTTCAACGCAGCACGCTACTCTGCTGCAGCTACATCCCGAAGAACGAGAGTGGGAGCCAAGTGGAGAGCCAGGGGCAGGAATGAGGAGGAGGTGAGATTCAGGCAGGGCAAAGCTGGTAGGCCTCAGATGGGTAGACCTGGCACTCGTCCTACAGCCTGAAGCGAAGGAGGGAAGGGAATGGGAGAGATGAGTGTCAAGAAGGAGGACGGTGGCCTGGGAAACGTGTGGCTGAGAGCCGGACAAGGCTATCCTGCCAGGTCCAAGTTGGGGAAACCGATGCTCGTGATACTGATTTAGTAGAAGAAGAAGAGGGAATGGAAGAGAGTAGAGACTGGGCGATGCTGCCAGATTTGTGAAGGAGGAGGGAGGTCTGGGAAACGAGTGGTTGAGAGCCAGGCAGGGCGACCAGCCAAGTCCGAGTTGGGTAAACCTGCCGCTTGTGCCACTGACTGAAGCGAAGGGGAAAAACGTGTGGAAGAAAGGAGGCAAGGCGAAGACATGAGAGGCAGGCAGCGAGATGCTGCTATGTCCCAGTTGGGGAGGCCGGGTGCTCTGGCTGCTGCTTGAAACAAGAAGGGGAGTAGAGGGGGAGAAACAGGTAGTGTGAGAGAGGAAGGTAGGGGAAGCATTGAGCCTCTGAACGGCTGACTGATGCGCAGGCAGGGCCATGCTGCCACTTCCCAATGCTGCTTTGACAGGTGGGCAAGGGGAGACACAACACGGAGGCAGTCGGGAGGGCCATGAGGGAGGTGAGAGCACTGTTGCACTTCCATCTCATGCATGCCCATCTCATGCATCCCCATCTCATGCATCCCCATCTCATGCATGCCATCTCATGCATGCCCATCTCATGCATGCCCATCTCATGCATCCCCATCTCATGCATGCCCATCTCATGCATGCCCATCTCATGCATCCCCATCTCATGCATCCCCATCTCATGCATCCCCATCTCATGCATGCCCATCTCATGCATGCCCATCTCATGCATGCCCATCTCATGCATGCCCATCTCATGCATGCCCATCTCATGCATGCCCATCTCATGCATGCCCATCTCATGCATGCCCATCTCATGCATGCCCATCTCATGCATGCCCATCTCATGCATGCCCATCTCATGCATGCCCATCTCATGCATGCCCATCTCATGCATGCCCATCTCATGCATGCCCATCTCATGCATCCCCTTCTCATGCATCCCCATCTCATGCATCCCCATCTCATGCATCCCCATCTCATGCATCCCCATCTCATGCATGCCCATCTCATGCATGCCCATCTCATGCATGCCCATCTCATGCATGCCCATCTCATGCATCCCCATCTCATGCATGCCCATCTCATGCATGCCCATCTCATGCATGCCCATCTCATGCATGCCCATCTCATGCATGCCCATCTCATGCATGCCCATCTCATGCATGCCCATCTCATGCATCCCCATCTCATGCATGCCCATCTCATGCATGCCCATCTCATGCATGCCCATCTCATGCATGCCCATCTCATGCATGCCCATCTCATGCATCCCCGTCTCATGCATCCCCGTCTCATGCATGCCCATCTCATGCATGCCCATCTCATGCATCCCCATCTCATGCATCCCCATCTCATGCATGCCCATCTCATGCATGCCCATCTCATGCATGCCCATCTCATGCATGCCCATCTCATGCATGCCCATCTCATGCATGCCCATCTCATGCATCCCCATCTCATGCATCCCCATCTCATGCATCCCCATCTCATGCATGCCCATCTCATGCATGCCCATCTCATGCATGCCCATCTCATGCATGCCCATCTCATGCATGCCCATCTCATGCATCCCCATCTCATGCATGCCCATCTCATGCATGCCCATCTCATGCATGCCCATCTCATGCATCCCCATCTCATGCATCCCCATCTCATGCATGCCCATCTCATGCATGCCCATCTCATGCATGCCCATCTCATGCATGCCCATCTCATGCATGCCCATCTCATGCATGCCCATCTCATGCATGCCCATCTCATGCATGCCCATCTCATGCATGCCCATCTCATGCATCCCCATCTCATGCATGCCCAGCTCATGCATGCCCATCTCATGCATGCCCATCTCATGCATGCCCATCTCATGCATGCCCATCTCATGCATCCCCATCTCATGCATGCCCATCTCATGCATGCCCATCTCATGCATGCCCATCTCATGCATGCCCATCACATGCATCCCCGTCTCATGCATCCCCGTCTCATGCATGCCCATCTCATGCATGCCCATCTCATGCATCCCCATCTCATGCATCCCCATCTCATGCATGCCCATCTCATGCATGCCCATCTCATGCATGCCCATCTCATGCATGCCCATCTCATGCATGCCCATCTCATGCATGCCCATCTCATGCATGCCCATCTCATGCATGCCCATCTCATGCATCCCCATCTCATGCATCCCCATCTCATGCATGCCCATCTCATGCATGCCCATCTCATGCATGCCCATCTCATGCATGCCCATCTCATGCATCCCCATCTCATGCATCCCCATCTCATGCATGCCCATCTCGATGTTGCCAGGTCCCAATTGAGTAAGCCTGCCGCTACAGCCTGGAGGAAAGAGCACGTAAGGAGGTGAAAGTGGCACAGTGGGGGAGAGCGGAAGAGGATAGGTCGGTTTGAAGGGGTGAAAGGCAGGCAGGACAATGCTGCTGGGTCCCAGTTGAGTAAGCCGGCTGCTCTTACTACAACCTGGAGAAAAGAGCACATGAGGAGGTGAAAGAAGGACAGTAGGAGAGATTGGAAGAGGATGGGGGGGGAAGAGAGGGGGTGCGGGGGGTTGAAGGGGTGACAGGCAGGCAGGGAAATGCAGCCAGATCCCAGTTTGGCAGGCCGGCTGCTCTGGGCGCTGCCTGGAAGAAATAACGGGAGAGAAGGGAGAGCAACGGGCAGAAGGAGAGAGAAGGGAGGAGAAGCAGTAAACCTCTAAACGGCAGTTGGGCAGGCATGTTGCTAAGGCAGAGCAATGCTGCCAGGTACCAGTGAGATTTTCCGAGATCTCCAAGCTGGGCACAGTGTGGATCCTGTACTGAACCAGTGAACAGCAAGCTGCTCAAGGCACCTCAAAAACAACGGGTAAAGAAACTTCAAAAAGGAAGGTTCTGGGAGGTCTTCCAGCAGGGCACAGTGTGGATCCCTTACCGAACTAGTGCACCGCAAGGTGCCTCAAGGTGCCTCAAGGTGCCTCAAAGATCAGTCTGCCGTGCAGGCAGGGAGATTCAGCCAGGTCTCTCAGCTAGGCAGAGTGTTGATCCCGTACTGAACCAGTGCACAGCAAGGCACCTCAAGGTACCTTATAAACAACGGGTAAAGACACGTGAGAAAGTGCTGCCAGGTCTCTCAGCTTGGCAGAGTGGGATCCCGTGCCGAACTAGTGCACTCAAAAACTGCGGGTAAAGAGACTTCAAGGTTCAAGGTGCCTCAAAGAGCAGTCTTCTGTGCAGGCAACAAGACTTTGCCAGGTCTCTCGGCTGGGCGGAGTGTGAATCCCGTACCGCACTAGTGCACTCAAAAACTGTGCAAAAGACTTCATGGTGCCTCAAAGGCTTTTCAGGCTTATCAAAACTCCTCAAAGGCTTTCTAGTGCACTCACCCGCACAGCCCACTCACCTATACAGGTCACTCACCCCACTCATCCCCATTGCTTACTCACCTTTATACCCTACTCACCCACACACCCCGCTCACCCGCACAGCCCACTCAGGGTTAAGAGTTTTGGTTATGAAGAGCAGCCAGGAGGCCAGGGGTCTGAGAGGGCGTCCGCAAAGGTGGTGCCATAGAAAAGGGTGACTGAAACAGAAGGGACAGAAGCAAGAGTTGGTGGGAGCGAGGGGCAGGACTCAGGGTTTGGGACTTAAGGTCAGGGTTTAGGGCAAGCAGCCAGGATGCCCAAGCAGGAGGGGTGTGAGAGGTCTTCAGCATTGGTGCTATGCCGTCGAGGAGAGTGACTTGAAAGACAGGCAGTTGTACAGAGCGGTGCAAGGATATGAGTTGCATTGGTATTTTGCATTTGCTTGTCGTGCTTGGGAGGGATGAGAGGCCCAACTCCTCTAGTTGGTTCATTAGGTCGTCAGCGTTTGTGCCATGGATTGGCATGAGAGGACAAGGGCAGTGACATGGACGTGGGGAAGGGGGAAATGCAGCCGAATGGGGAGAGGGGGCGGATGAGCAGGTGAAGAGGCAACGGATAGGGAGAGGGCCAAAGGGGCAGGTGAAGAGAGGCAACCGAATTTGTGGATGAAAAGGGCGTGAAAGAGCAGCACTGTACAGAACAGCATGTTTCTGATCGACGGCATAGCAATCGAATAAAAGAGAGGGTTTCTTTGTACACTCCAGTTTCCCACCTCTACCCATTGCAGCCCTTTCTCTCCCCTTCTTCTTTCCAAACTTTTGTGCTCCTCCTGCTGTGATTTTTCCTTATCCTCAGTAAATACTGGTGTACTACAATCTAAAAAGCCATTTCAGCCCCCAGCATGCACCACCTCAAAGCTTTCCCATCTAACGTGCACCAATCAGAGCGGGTTAGAGAGTGGCTAGGCATAGCAGCTGTTTTGGGGTGTACTATACGAGGCTGGAGTGGTGGATTGTCTCTCACTTTAAACACTTCACTGTATGGGATCAGCTTGATATGTGTTGCCACGAATGGAGCTCTCTCAAAACTACCCTCCTCTTAAAATTACCAAGAAACATTCGTTACACAATTCATTTACGAGTACACACTTCAAAGGTTTTAAAGAGCAAAGAGAGTATTTTACAAACACTAACCAACAAGAAACATGACACTAGGACAATTTCACTCTGACAACTATGTTGCTGTCTGCCTAAAATCCTTCCATGTCCCGGATGCCACAGCGCTGTGCACGGGACATGCCGGCAATTACTTGCTTGCACCCTGTGACAATCAACATCTTCAGCTCGGTCAGATTATCTGTTTAAGGCCTCCAACAGCTCACAATCAGAGAGGCTGAGAGTCCTGAGGCTGGTCATCTGTGCAAACCCGGGAGGAAGGGAGCTGATGGAAGTCCGCCCAACCTTAAGCACAGAGAGGCAGCGAAGCTGCGTGAGCAAGGATGGTAGCTGCTGCAGGGCTATACACCATGACAGATCCAGCGTGCGCAACCTGGATAAAGCACCGATGCCATTGGGGATTGAGGCCAGCTCGGGTGCATGAACTCTTGATGGCGTCAGCTGTTGCAGCTGTGAACCTGTTTCTGGTAGCTTCTTGACGTCCTCGAGGAAACAGAGGTGCGGTTCTCGCAGCTGCTTTGCCCCCTTGATGCTCTGTGGGAGGTCCTGAATCCTCGTTGCACGCTGAATACTCAAGCTGATCGGGAACTGCTCCAAACTTTCTGCCAAATCCACGTCCAAGTGCCTTAAACACGATGGCAGGGACATCTCAGGCAGGAAGTAAGTCAAACTGCTCTCCTTCCAAATTAGGACCTCAAGGGAGAGTGGCAGAGACAGAGGAAACCCACGCAACTGTCTGCAGTCAGTTACCTCCAACCGCTGGAGCTTCCTAAGGGTACTTAGCCTTTTCGGCAGCGAGAGAATACTTTCACAAAACTCCATGATCAAGGATACAAGGCTGGTGGGCGCAGTGACAGACTCTGGTATCTCTCTGACAGCATGGCACTCATACAGGTAGAGATGCTGCAGGTTACGCATATTGCCTAGACCCTCAGGAAGCGTTGAAGCGCCGGAGCTCAAGACTTGTAAGAGAAAACAGCTGCGTAAACGAAGGGGGGAGCTGCTCCTGCCTGCACCCATCCACGCGAAGAGTCTCTAGATTGCTAAGCCATCCGAGTCTTTCTGGAAGCATCGTCAGTCGTAAAGTCTTGAGGCTCAATGACTTGAGAGACGTGAGGTTGCAGAACTCTGCTGGTAGCTGCTGAAACCCAAGGCCGCAAAAATCCAGGTCCAGTTTCTCCAGAGATGTAACTTGGCAGAGGGAGTCTAGCTCCCAGAAAGAGATGCCCTCCAGCATCAGTGAGTTGAGAGCAGGCAGCTGTCCAAAGTCTCTGGGCAGGATGTGAAGATTGAGGCAACCAGAAATGGTCAAGCACTCCAATCCAGTTAAAGCTGTAATCTGTTCGGGAAGTTGGTTGAGCTGAGAGCAATCCCGAATGGTCAGCTGACGGAGGCACGGAAACAACTTCTCGATGTCATCAGGGAGTTGCTGGAGGTTAGGGGAATTGGTGATCACCAGCTGTTCTAAATGGATGCACGGTGATCCTGTAGGAAACATCCAAGTGAAATTAGGGCTGGTGTACTGGAACTTGAGTGTCTTCAGACAAGGCAACTGAGCAGCTAGAAAAGTTGCTGCGGGACGGCAGATCTCACTGGAGATGGAAAGTATGGAAAGTCTTTGGATGCGACAGTTGCTGATGTGTCAATTTTGGGACAGCAATACTGAGAGAAGTGAGAGACGAAAGTCTTGCAAATTTGGGAAGTGTCAAGGCTGAAATGTCGGTTAAAAAAACGGTATGAAGACGCTCCAGCTGAAAGAAGGAATTTGGTAACTCAGCACCTTTATGGAGGCAGTGAAGCGAAACCTTCTCCAGCTGAGTGCACTTCAGGAAGAAATTATCCAGGCCGGCTTCTGTAACCGGATGCCTATCCTTGTGTCCTCCACACGGTGTGACCCTACGACCCACGTGAAGAGCTTTCAGCTTGGGTCGTGAGGTCGCAAGGTGAGCGAGGAATGCGTCGTCTAAAATTTCAATGCTGCCGTCGCTCAGATGAAGATCCGCGAGGTTATCGATACAAGCCACGGCCTTCGCCAGATTTTGACGAGACACGACAAGGTTTTCTCGGACTGACAGGCCGGTTACTTGACGCTTAACTAGACGACGCCAGCGACTGCATACGGACGCGATGAGCAGATTGAATGCTGCATGTGCGAAGGCTGGAGGCGTGAACTTATTTGCCTTAAAATGCCAAGGAGGAAGCGAGTCACATGAATTATCAGTAGTACAAGTGTGGGAAGGCATCCAATCCTGGAACCATATAATTTTCGTCAGAAGGTCATCTGGAAGTTGATCGAAGTGGTTGAGATTCTCCATCTAAACGCCCCAACTTAGGTTTGTCAGGAAGGTTTCTTAGTAAAGGTAAGAATCTATATCTCGATATCTCGGTGTTCGGAGCTGATGAAGGACGAGGGACTCTCAAAACGCTCGTGATAGAAAGTTCCTCATATAAGCATCACGACTCATGCTGACCTGGGGCGTGGAGGGGGCGTGGAGGTAAGGCTAGAGACGATGTCCTCCACCGGCGGCAGGAACCCGTGTCTGCGCCATAAAAAAACGATGTCCTAACCCTTAGACGAAAGCTCAAGGTGTCCTCTCCCAACGTCCAGGGTGAAATGACTGACGTGTTTCCATGCCTTGAAATTCGTCCATGCCAAATCCTCGCGTTTGCGACTCGTCCAGGCTTCAGGAGATCGCCTTCATGGATCCCAAACTGGGCTCAACTGATGGACAAACATCCACATGATCTCAGGATCTCAGGACGCAATCAAGTTTCGTTAAAGCCCGCGTCCCAAATTGCGGGCCGCGAGGGTCAAGTTTTTAAAACTTGACGAAGTTGAGTGTCCAAGCTTTTGAAAGTCACGCACTTGCAATTTGGGACTTTCGAAGACAGATTCACTCACCAGGGGGAAAACCGAGGGTTGGCTGGGTCTCGCGAAAAAAACGAACCTAGACGAAATCGGAAACTCTCGCCAAAGCCCACACCAGAAAAACTCCCTCTGGTCAACTTTTAAAAGCATGAACAATTTGGGCCGCCGGCTTTAACAGAAACATTGTGAACGCTTGCAAATGCAACGTCTCATTTCAACTGGAAAGTACAAGATTTTATCGTCCAAGCATTGTACAACATACATAATAGCTACCATGCATCGCATGCTAGGGTGGGGGGGCGGGAAACTTGAAAATGAAAGTTCGAAATGAAAACGTGGGTTTAAGGCCAAATGGCCTTCGCCCCCTCTTTTATACCGAAAAAGAGGGGAAGTAGCGTTTCGTCGAAGCCTTTGCTTCGGTACAATTCGCTTCGCTATTCACAATACACAATTTTGGAAAGTGTTTCACTTTCAAAAATTTACATAATGTGTCAACATCAGTATGTCGCATGAACGGAACAAATCGCGGAAACACGCAATACATTTCGGAGCACATCTGGGTTCACGCCAGTAAACGCACTTGGAACGCGTTCTCTTTCACTTCGAATTTGAGCAAACCAAGTAGGGTAAGTAGCTTTCGCAGGGGTACTACTAGCGACCCTGCGCTTTCAAGGGGACTACAGTGCTATATGCGGGCACTTTCCGCCACTCCGCCACTCCGACAGGAACATTATGGCAACAACACAGAACTCGGTCCCACATTCACCCACGTGTCACAAATTTTGCAAGCCACTGGAAAAATATCCCTTTACCTGACCGGAAAAAACTAAAACCCAATCGGGAAGGGATGCGTCTCGGGGAGGCATCAACCCAAAAAAAAATGTGGGTTCCCGTGTTTAGGGTTGATCCCTCCCGAAAATGAGTCCAGGTTCCCTATGGGTTTTATTTTTTTTGCCGTGCGTTTTCTAACTTTCCAAATTTGTGACACGTGGGTGAATGTGGGACCGAGTTCTGTGTTGTTGCCATAACTTTCCTGTCGGAGTGGCGGAGGGGCGGAAAGTGCCCGCAACTAGCACTGTAGTCCCCTTGAAAGCGCAGGGTCGCTAGTAGTACCCCTGCGAAAGCTACTTACCCAACCAAGTATGCAGGAGCCTTGGATGGCAGGGAGAAAAGCGCGGACAGTTGTTCGAGCTCGGTAAACTCCCAAGAGAGAACTCGTCACTGAGCACACCAGCACCACGGAAACAAATTCATTGAGGTAATGTATAATCCATCTATAAACAAAACAAAACATCAAGACCAAGTCTCAATGGAACCAACATATTTAATTTACCATCACCCCTAAATCGAATGATTTAAACGAACAGCCCCAATTTCAAGAATTTTATACATGAATGTGCACATTGTTTTCGAGATGCTAGCTAATTCAATTATTTATAATCATTTCCGTAGCACCAACGATCACGTACTGGTATATACTATTCACCAAAATATGTGACTGAACACTGCAGTCTCAAAGCATACCGTACATTGCATGACGCATTATACCTCACACCTTCCACCATGTTGGAGACACTAACACACACCACTACATAGCAAGCATCCACCAGTTTGAACACTTCGGCGCCATCATGTACACCATAGTGAAGATACAACCAATGAGGTAGCAGGCTCCCGCTCCTGCAGGCCCTGCAGCCCAGATAGTGCAAGCCGATGACCGACTCACACGCCTCCACGCCTGCCTGCTATGTCTCTGCCCTGGCCAGCACTATCCATCCCTTCACCAGCAATGTTGACTTCATTGACTGGGGATTGACCCCAACGTTGACTTTATTGACTCTTCGTTCCTTCATCTCCTTGAGAGCAGAAGTACGGTCCCTCACTCCGCCGAAGCCTGATGTTGACTTCACTTACTCACCATTGACTTCACTTACTCACCATTGACTTCACTGACTCACCTTTGACTTCACTGACTCACCGTTGACTTCACTGACTCACCATTGACTTCACTGACTCACCTTTGACTTCACTGACTCACCGTTGACTTCACTGACTCACCGTTGACTTCACTGACTCACCATTGACTTCACTGACTCACCTTTGACTTCACTGACTCACCGTTGACTTGGCTTTGATTCACCGTTGACTTACTTGGATTTGTCTCAGTTGACTTACTTGGATTTGTCTCACCGTTGACTTACGAGGCTCATTGTTGACCCACCATTTAGTTACCATTGACTCATCATTGGCTCCATTGACCCACCTCTTGCTTCCTTGACGCACCATTGATTTTCTTAAGAGCAGCAGCGCAGTCCATCACCTCCCCGAACCTTGACCTTATTGACCCACCAGTCACTGAACCCACTTCCCATTGACTTCATTGACTCACTCCCCAATCACTCACAGTTCATCTCCTAGAGAGCAACAGCGCAGTCCATCACGTCACGCTAAAATTGACTTCACTGACTAGCCATTGACTTACTTTTGACCCACATTGACTCACATCGACTTCCTTGACTCACCGTTCATCTTCTTTGGAGGGAGGGGGTTATGTGCAGATCATGTACAGAGAGGGGGTCATATTGTCTGCTGTTCACCCATACATGCCAGCTCACTTTGGCTTGTTCAAAGATGCGAACTTGTGAAACGCCTTTGGTAAGAACGGAATGGCACTGCTAGTGCCACCCATTCCCGTACATGTTCCTATTTCTATTCATTTTTCGTGATTTGTTTCCCTTTTTTTCTTAAGGGGCTTTTCCATAAAGTGTACAAGCCAGCTCACCTTCGCCTTGTTAAACGACGCGTAACTCCACATGGATATGGGGTAATGGGTAATGGTGGGGATATGGGTTATGCCCTTCTCAACACATCATCGTTCACCTCGTTGCCCAGATCATTGCAAAACAAACGATGGTCATCTGCATGGGAATAGGAGTATATGGGTAATGGGAAATGAGGTATGAGGTGTGGGGGGTTATGAGGGGGTATGACTTGGCCGGCACCATCATCGTTCACCTCGTTGCCCAAATCGCCGCAGAACAGCCGAAGATCGCCTGCATGGGGATGGGAGTCCATGGGCATGGGGGAATGGTAAGGGGTACAGATGGGTATGGGGAGGGTTTGGAGTTTGCCTTGACCTCGTTACCCAGGTCGCCACAGAACAGCCGATGATAGTTTGAATGGGATCGCGGGAGTAAAACATGGGATATGGGGGTATCGAAGGTATGGAGAGAATGGGGGTATGGTGGGTACAGGGGTATGCCTTGGCCAGCACACCATCGTTCACCTCGCTGCCTAGGTCACCACAAAACAGCCGACGGTCGCCTGCATGAGATTTAGAAAATATGGGTAAGGCACGGGATATGGGGGTATGGGGAGTACGGGGGGTATGCCATTAACCTCGGTGCCTGGCAATCACGTTGATGAACAGCCCGAGCTCAATCAAGACGAACTTATGAACAGCCCTATGGCCGTCTTGACGGGGAAAGGACAGGGTAGCACATATTGTTATGGTGATATGGAAGCACAGGGGCGGGTTACAGGTGGCACAGTGCCTCTAATAAACCTCCGTGCTTCAATCACGTTAATAAACAGCATACGACCCTGTGGTCGTCTTGAAGGGGTAAGGGCATGTGGAATGCGGGCAAGGGATATGGGAGCAAGCATGCAGGAATGGGGGCACGGAGGCATGGGGGTGTTTGAGTATGTGGATAGTATGTGGACAAATGGGGACGGCAGCTCAAAGGCATTGGTTATAAGAGCATCCGAATATGAGGTTTGGGGGTTATGCTGATCCAAGGATACAGGGATATATGGTATGGGTTATGTGGAATATGGGGGGTATTAAGCCAACTCACTCTCAGGCCATTATGTCAGAATTGGATCTTCCCATTTCTGCCAGGTAGCTGTCCTCGACACCGGCCGCTTTTTCTTTTGCTGCCCGGCCATGCCCAGCGGCACGTTACTGGCCAGGGTAGCTTTAACTCCTTCCAGCAATGCCGGATTGATCATGGCCGCATCCCTTTGAAATAGCTGCTCCGCCTGCTCATTGGGAAAGGGGGGGAGCGGAAAGTGGGTGTGGCCAGGGGCGGGAATCAAAGTGGGGGTCATTGCTGGATCCCTTTAAAACAGCTGCTCCACCTGCACTTGAGAAAAGGCGGACGGGCGGCAGCAGGAAAGGGGGGAAATGGGAAGGGGGGGGGTGAGCAGGGGAGTGTGAGCTGCCGGGTTGATCATGGCTGCATCCCTTTAAAACAGCTCCCGCCTGATCGGGGGGAATGAAGGGGGGAGGACAAGAGATGGAAAAAACAAGGGGCTTAAGGAGTTGCCTGCCTGGTTGCTCATGGCTGCATCCCTCTGGAACAGCTACTTCTCCTGATAGGGGAAATGGGAGGTACGATGACCATGCTAGTGCTTCAAGGGAAAAAAGAAAAAATCTCAGTGGAAATGAAATAGGCTCACAGGGGAACGGAGCTTTGGAAAACAACCAATGCTTGACAGAAGAAACCCCCCTTGGTTAATGTTGCAACTTCCAAAACTCGATTGCAAGTTGCAAATGGCTTGTGAAGTGAGCTGATGAACTTCCATCAGCTCCAGTCTCGAATTTGAGGCGCCTCAAACCACGTCTCCATGGTTTGATTGATTTTTGTAACGAGGGTGATGCAAAATACAAAGCGTGATTGCATCAAAACTGTCCTGCGTCATTCAGGTTTAAGGTGTCTCAGACCTTGATCAAAACGCACCTGCGAGTTTATGGGCCTCCCTGAAGTGAGATGATATTTTAGATGCATGTAAAATTGCCTTCTGACCTGTGGATTGAGTTTGAGGTGTCTCAGATCCTCATCAAAACACACCTGCGAGTTGATAGGCTCTCCTGAATTCCTTGCTGCGTTGGCCTGATAAGAGCGGGATGAGGAGGGAATGGGCAGATGGGGGAGAGATGGGGAGATGGGGGAATGGGTTTAAGGCGCATCAAAATGGGGGGGAAGTGGGAATGGGAGGATGGAAGGATGGAGGCACGGGGAGATGGGGGGTGGGCGGATGGGGAAAATCGGGGGATGGGGGGATGGGGAGATGGGGGAAATGGGGTATAGGGGCAAATGGGAATGGGAGATGGGGGGATGGGGGCATGGGGGAATAGGGGGATGGGGGGATGAGGAGATGGGGGGAATGGGGTATAGAGGCAAATGGGGATGGGAGGATGAGGGGATGGGGGGATGGGGCGATGAGGTATGCTTCGATGGGGGATGAGGGAATGGGAGCAAGTGGGGATGGGAGGATGGGTGGATTGGGGGTTGGGGAGATGGGGGGAATGGGGTATGGGGGCAAGTGGGGATGGGAGGATGGGGGGATGAAGGGATGAGGTATGGTTGGATGGGGGAGGGCGTGGGCGCACGGGAGGATGGGCGGAAAGGTGGAAGGGGGATGTCAGAGGGAAGAGCAACCAACAGGGGAAGCAGGCGAGGGAAGCAAGGGAGGCCAGAGAAGGGGTGACGGGCAGTGACTGGCGAGATGGGCAGTGAAAGGCGGTGACCAATGATCACTTTGCAACTTTCAAAAGGGATAGGCTGAGCGGGAAAGGGACAGGCTTACCAGGAACTCAGATAGTGTTGTCCCTTGCCCGTTGCTACTTCCCATCCCATGCTGCCCCCCCACCGCTCCATAGCCCCATCCACCGGCTTCAAACCCTGCCCCCCCTGCTCCATACCCCCCAGCACATTCATTATGATCAACCTGCGTTTCGTCAACGCCACACATGAGAGCAGCAGGTGAGAGCAGGAGTTGAGAGCAGCAGGTGAGATCAGCAGGTGAGAGCATGGCGGGAGAAGCAGATAGGGGTGGGGAGGGTAGGGGACGAGGAGCAGATGAGAAATCAATATTTTTTTCCTGAGCATAAGATGTCGCGGGATAACAGGAGAGGGGAGATGGGGGGATGGGGCGAGCCAAGGAAACGGGGTGGCGGGGAGCACGTGGGTGAGTGCAGCGCCATAGGAGGGACAGGAATCCGTGGGTCAGGCACTGGGGTAGGAAAACCAGGTGCGGAGCTTGGAGGGTTGGGGAGTCGTGTGGGGGATGGGGTGGGGGGGAAGGAGAGGTATGGGGTGGCGAGGGGATAGTGCCTTGGAGAGCAGTGCGCCTGCGCTGTGGGGGGCCGAGTATGTGGGCCATACAGTGCTGTAGCGATGCGAATTCGTTGGCCAGACGTCGGTACAGGAGAAGCAAGTGCACATCAGTGAGCTTCTGGTACCTCTCATCACACCCCCACCTCCTCCTCCCACTGCTCGTCCCTGAGGAAGCACACGGCCACGGAGCACCCTTGCCCAGCCTCGCCTCACCCATCAGCCCATGACCTGAGGCTGGGTGAACCCATCAGCCTCAGGTCATGGGTGAACCCATCAGCCTCAGGTCATGGGTGAACCCATCAGCCTCAGGTCATGGGTGAACCCATCAGCCTCAGGTCATGGTCATCAGCCTCAGGTCATGGGCATCAGCCTCAGGTCAGGTCATGGTCATCAGCCTCAGGTCATGGTCATCAGCCTCAGGTCATGGGTGAACGTAAGAAATCGGATGTGAAAAGTGGGGGGTATGAGAGGAATGGGGGGTATGAGAGATGTGGGGGGTATGAGAGATGTGGGGGGTATGAGAGATGTGAAGGGTATGAGAGAAGTGAAGGGTGTGAGAGAGGGGGTGTGAGAGAAGTGGGGGGTGTGAGAGAAGTGGGTTGTGTGAGAGAAGTGGGGGGTGAGAGAGAAGTGGGGGGTGAGAGAGAAGTGGGGGGTGAGAGAGAAGTGGGGGGTGAGAGAGAAGTGGGGGGTGAGAGAGAAGTGGGGGGTGAGAGAGAAGTGGGGGGTGAGAGAAGTGGGGGGTGAGAGAGAAGTGGGGGGTGAGAGAGAAGTGGGGGGTGTGAGAGAAGTGGGGGGTGAGAGAGAAGTGGGGGGTGAGAGAGAAGTGGGGGGTGAGAGAGAAGTGGGGGGTGAGAGAGAAGTGGGGGGTGAGAGAGAAGTGGGGGGTGAGAGAGAAGTGGGGGGTGAGAGAGAAGTGGGGGGTGAGAGAGAAGTGGGGGGTGAGAGAGAAGTGGGGGGTGAGAGAGAAGTGGGGGGTGAGAGAGAAATGGGGGGTGAGAGAGAAGTGGGGGGTGAGAGAGAAGTGGGGGGTGTGAGAGAAGTGGGGGGTGAGAGAGAAGTGGGGGGTGTGAGAGAAGTGGGGGGTGAGAGAGAAGTGGGGGGTGAGAGAGAAGTGGGGGGTGAGAGAGAAGTGGGGGGTGAGAGAGAAGTGGGGGGTGAGAGAGAAGTGGGGGGTGAGAGAGAAGTGGGGGGTGAGAGAGAAGTGGGGGGTGAGAGAGAAGTGGGGGGTGAGAGAGAAGTGGGGGGTGAGAGAGAAGTGGGGGGTGAGAGAGAAATGGGGGGTGAGAGAGAAGTGGGGGGTGAGAGAGAAGTGGGGGGTGTGAGAGAAGTGGGGGGTGAGAGAGAAGTGGGGGGTGTGAGAGAAGTGGGGGGTGAGAGAGAAGTGGGGGGTGAGAGAGAAGTGGGGGGTGAGAGAGAAGTGGGGGGTGAGAGAGAAGTGGGGGGTGAGAGAGAAGTGGGGGGTGAGAGAGAAGTGGGGTTTGTGAGAGAAGTGGGGGGTGTGAGAGAAGTGGGGGGTGAGAGAGAAGTGGGGGGTGAGAGAGAAGTGGGGGGTGAGAGAGAAGTGGGGGGTGAGAGAGAAGTGGGGGGTGTGAGAGAAGTGGGGGGTGTGAGAGTAGTGGTGGGTGTGAGAGAAGTGGGGTTGTGAGAGAAGTGGGGATGTGAGAAAAGTGGGGTTGTGAGAGAAGTGGGGTTGGGGGCAGGGTTCAAAATTCAAGGGTGTTTTACCCTTTCTACCCTTGCTATGGGCTGCTTTTCCAGGAATGCCCTGATGTAGGACGTGTATTTACAAATTGACCCTGACTGTATATTTGTAGTTTTTGAAATACACTTGCAAAATCAGGCCACCCCGAGTTCTCCCCTGACTCGTCAGCGTACTTTTCCAAATGCACTGAAACAGACTTTCTTCGTGTGGTTTCTGTACAACAGGGCCCATGTGGCCACTAGTCCGAGATGGTTACAAAACCGGCCAGACGAGTCACTGTCGCGCTGTCACATCGACAAAACAGACCACACCAGGAAACTTGTGATTCGCTGCCTCTACAGCATTTACATCCAGCATGGCAATGTGGCCCACACCACCATGCCACGGAGTGTCCTTGCAGACTGTGGGTGGTGGTGGGGCTTCCTTGGCCTATTCATTGCATGCGCAGCGCCACACATTCTGGAAGCGTGGTCGAAAGGACCCATCCTTAGAACGAGTGCCTTCTCTTTCATCCTCACCTTCTCCAGCCATTTCTTCTATCCCCTACTCTGCCCCACTAGCTCCACCTTACCATGCCAGACGAGGACTCAGGAGGAGAAGCACCTGCTTCTCCTCGCAATGGACTTTCTGTGCTCGGGGTTTTCCCACGGCTGGGCAAAGCCTATGCCACTCCTGTCCAAGAACCTCCTCGCCCCGAATCACCAGTCCGTTCAGTCGGCATGGTGTATGCGTGGGAGGCACCGAACTCGCCGACTGCCTGGGAGCCACACCCGTCCGTGACATTGGTGCCTGGTGGTGACGAGGGCCCTTCAAACCGAGGCGAGAGCACTCCGTCAACGGTCAACAGTGCTCCAGCTAAGCGTGCTTGAACCGGTGATGTGAAATACACCCAGCAGCTCCTGTGGGGTGCAAAGCCTCCACGCAAACCACCAAGTCCTCCACGTGTACCTCCGCCAGAGGAGGCTGAGGAGCTACCCAAATCGGATGCGGACACTGAGTATGCTATTATCAAGCATCGTTTTGATTCTGACTGGTCGTCTCGTTTTCCGTGGCTTCGTTTGCATCGCACGAAAGCAGGCCGGCCCTCGTTGAAGTGCAACATCTGCATGCTGCATGGCGACCCCGCTGCCAACACGACGTACGGCATCAAGGGCGAGGGTGGTCGCGATCTTCAGCTTGGCAGCATGCGCGCCCATGTTGCGACAAGGGCGCACAAGGCCGCTTTGAAGGTGGAAGCTGAGGCTGAGGCGCGTCATGAGCGTCAACTGACTCTCACTCGTTGGCAAGCCACGGATGCATCTACACGTCACATAATCCGCTGTCTGCACATCGCCATGTTCATCTGTAAGGCGGATGCTCCAATCGCCCTTTTTGTACCTCTGTGCTGGTTCCTGGCCAGAGAGGGACTTCCAGATCTACCGCCCACAGGTGGCTATGGCACGTACTATACGGAGTAAGTTCATGCATTCCTTTTAAAGTAGCATGTTTTATTGCCTGTACAGTCGTGTGATATTAATACTTCCGCATCTGTCCGTCGTGTGTGCAGCTACGGTTTCAAGGAGAAGATCAGATCGATGTCGACTTACCTCCAGGACCTCCAGCTGCAGCACCTGCTGACCTCACCGTGGTTCGGGATTGGCATTGACGAGAGTACGGATCGCATCCATGGGAAGCACCTGATCATCTATGGCACATTCTTCAAGGGAACTGTGGTGTCGACCGAGTTCTTATCTCTTCTAACGGTTGAGCGGACAGACGCTGCTTCCCTCACATCTGTCGTCGTTCAGTTCCTGCAGCATATTGGTGTGGACCTGCAGAAGATGGTCGGCATCGCCACGGATGGCGCGAGCGTGATGGTCGGGGTTCACAATGGCGTGGTCGCGCGTCTCCGCGCCAAGATTCCTCACCTCGTTTCCACACATTGCATAGCGCATCGGTTCGTTTATATGATGTGCATTGTTTTACGCCTTAACCCTTTGCGTTGTTGTGTATATGCTTCACTCCATGTTTGAGCCTAATGCGTGGGCAACATGTCCCCTTCTTCACCGATCCACCCTCTGTCCTGCAGTGAAGCTCTGGCGGCGAAAGATGCTGCGACTGCCGTGAAGGAGCTCAACATTGTCGATGACATCGTGCGCGGTTTTGCCTCCCTTCTATCCAACAGCAACGTCCAGCACGCGCGGTTCATGAATCTACAGCTCACCTTCTGTCAAACCAACCTTGAAGCCCAAGGCATCCATGCAGTTCGGTGGTTATCTCGCGGGGAAGCCGTGTCTCGACTTCTGGAAGTGCTCCCGGCTGCCATTGTTTTGATGAAAGACCAGTCGCCGACGATGTACGAAGTGGCGACGTCATTCAAGTTTCACTGGCTTTTGCGGCTCCTGGCGGACGTCCTGTTCGAGCTAAATCAGCTCAACCTTCGGTTCCAGCAACGCCAGGTTAGTATGCGCTCTGTTTATGTCACACAGTCACCTCAATGCTTGGTTTCCATATGGAATATCGTTTTACCAACACGCACACACTGATTCTGTACTGCGCGTGCGTCGCAGGTGGACGTGACTCTGGTGGCACACCTTGCAGAGCAGACGCGGATGCGCCTCACCCAACGCTATCTCCGTGTCCCCGAGGGACACACATTCGGTCATGGCGACAAGATGCATTTGCCTGCCTTCATTCGTGCACATGGGAAGTCGGACCCGGACAAGCGGAAGATGAAGGTGGAAGGGGTCGATAGAGATGGGACCCCATCCTCTCATGAGTTCGTGCTCCACGAGAGGCCACTGGCCGATGAAGACCCTGACGGTGAAGGTGAAGCGCCGGCAGGTGACGCGACAGCATGCTACGAGCTGTCGACCAAGTTTGTGCGGGAGGTTGTCAAGCAGCTTGAGAAGCGCCTGAGAGATCTGTCTCACCTCGATGGCTCGAAGCTGTTCCTGTCATCGAAGTACCTACAAGATGATGACAAGCGTGTCGCGGCGTACAAGCGCTGGCTGAAGCAGCTCCATGTGCTCTACCGCGAGTCCTTGCCAGGTTTGTGCGCTGTTGATTATGACAAATCTGTGTTCACATGAGTGACACACCCTGCTGTAATAGCCTGCACACGGCCTGTTTCACATGATTTGTGCTCGTAAAGATCAACACCTCCCCCCCCCCCCCCCTTCCCCCTTCCCCCTCCCTACACTAATCTGCCGCTTTCTACTCCTTTGAGAATCACTCCCCCTATGCCTCAGGCTTCAACTACACGAAGGCTGTCGCTGAGCTGTGGATGTTTACATCGACCATGCATTCTCAGCACCATGACGAAGACTTCCATCAGGCGCTCAGCAACACTCTGCGCGACGACCAGTGGCAGCGCTCCTACCCCAACATCATGCTCCTGTGGCAAGCAGTCGCTGTGCTGCCCCTGAGCACGGTGGAGTGCGAGAGGGGGTTTAGCAAGCAGAACATTATAAAAACGTGGGGCCGGGGGAGCATCTCAGACACATCATTGGGACACCTAATGCGCTGCTCTCTCCTTGAGTACACCGTGGACTGGTTTGAGGTCGCACGCATCTTCCGTGGCGACAGAAACAGGCGGCCAATCCGAGACTTCACTGGCAGCAACCCAAGTGATACTCAGTTTAACACGGCAACAGTCCCTGACACCACTGCAAGTGCAGACCACCAGGAGGGACCCGAGAATGAGTGATGTGTTGTCTTGTTAGTGGTGGTTATGTTGAGTAGAGTTGCATGTAGGGAAGTTATTAGGTTGTGCCAGTAGGACTTTGAACTTGCAATCAGAATGGTTTTTTAAATACCCTTACACACACAGGATACTGGCTAAAACACACTGACTAGCTCAGGGTAAAAAATTTCCCACACAGACGGTCAGGCAAAGGGCACTGGGGGACCCTGATATGGCAGGGTGCCCCAAAACCAATTTTGGGCCCTGGTTGGGGGCAATCTCTCAAAACAATGTTTTTTCTGATGCAGACCAAAATACAAATTTCGGATTTGTTGTAATGTAGGATGCATCTCTCATAATGAATCCATCAAATTATAGCTCTTCGATCGAATTCTTCAGAATGCGAAAATCAAAATGTACATCTCACAATGCGTTTCTCAAAATGCACAGTGGATCTGGCCGCGGCTTCAAAAGAGACATTGGCGATACAAAAATGTTGTGACTTCCTCAGCATTGAACTGAACTGAAAGTACTGAATGGAACAACGCAAGATCCATGACATTCCATAACGGTATGCTGTCATCCAAGCAGCATTCAACGACTCCTACGGTAGCTGATTTACAGAGTGCATGTGGGACCACTCGTGCAATGATCACACAGGCTTGGCATCAGACTACGTCTCCTGAGTATCTCTTCTGCTCTTTTTGTTCCCTTTAGGTACCATGTTCTGCCATCCCTGATGCTGAAAATATATGTGAATACAACATTCTTGACAGTCCAAAAAAAGGTACCTTACAAGGCAATCAAGATCAGCGAGGAGCACACTACAAGTCCCTGAACAGCCCCATCCAGTCATTCATCTCCCCACGCACCAGCTTCACTGGCATGAGACCGGCTTCAAGACGCCTTTGCCATCCAGCATCTGCTAGCACTGAGACATTGCAAGCAGAATGCTATCGCACTACACAGCTGCTTAGCAATGATGAGCAGAGCATCTCCCTGGCCACTGGTAGCATCCCCCGCGATATTGCAGCGCCTTCAAGCAAGTCAAGTCCACCATGGCAGTCACCACCAGCTGAAGGTAATTAGCTGAGTCAATGCCCTTCAATGCTCTTCAGCCGTCAGCTGCACGAAATCGGCAGGAAGGGATGAGACGGAGGTGCCATGCAGTATCAGCCGGTGCAGCTGGGTGAGACACTCAGGGAGGTGCTGCAAGGCGGTGCAGCGAATCAGCTCCAGTTTGCGCAGCCGAGACAAGCGGCTCATGCCCTGAGGTAGCGACGTCAGTTGAGGTGCGTTAACAATCAAAGTCGTCAGCGAGCTGAGCTCCACTATGCTTCCCGGCAGCTCCTCCGGTGACCAAGAGCGAAGCTCCAGCTGCCGTAGCTCCGGCAACACTGTTGCCAGATTTTCTGGAAGGCTGCAGATATCCGGCGCTTCTATCAGCATGCTGCGCAGGCGAGGGAGCAACATTAAGGGGATCAGGAGCTCCTCACTATCACGTTCCAAACGCATCTCCAGCTGCTCCAGCTGCTGCAGACACGGCAACATGCTGCTCACTGCAGGCCCGCAGCGCACCACAACGCAGTTCAGTTTCAGCACCCTCAGCTGCGACAACCCAGAGATGTCCACCACATGGGAGGAATCTTCTTCCCTGAAGGGCCCCAAGCAGAGGGTCTCAAGAGATGGTGGCAGACCAGCAGGGGGTCCACTCAGCTGCCAACATTCCGTCAACTCCAGCCTTATGAGCCCCACGAGCGCATCTAGCCTCGAAGGTACATCCAAGAGAGACCAGCAGCCTCTGACCTCCAAGATCTGAAGTCTCGTAAGCCGTGTCAGCGAGGTAGGTAACGTGCTGATTAAAGAATCAACAACTTTCAGCTCCCGTAGGCTGCTCAGCTCTCCCAAGGCTTCTGGAAGTTCGTTTCCACCACATTGCTCCAGCTCAAGGATCGTCAGTGAAGACAGCTGGGAGAATGAAGCTGGAAGGGGATACATGTAGAGGTACAACCTGAGAGCCTCCAGACGTGCAAGGGCCCCCACGTCCTCTGGCAAGGTAAGACCATACGAGTTTGAGAGGCAGAGCGCCTTGAGAGTTGTGAGGCAGCATAACTCTGCTGGCTCCTGCCAAAGCTGGTGGCAGTCAACTATTGAAAGTGCCTCGAGAGACGTGAGATGACACAAGGAAGGAGGTAATTCGGTAAAGAGCAAATCCTCCAGCACCAGCAGTTTTAGGGCAGGCAGGAGACCGAAGTTGCTGGGTAGTAAGGTTAACTCGACAGAATTAGAGACGACGAGGGTTTCCAAACGGCTGAGAGAAATGAAGCTTTTAGGCAGGTGAGAGAAATAATAACACTCACGAATGACCAGCTTGCGCAGGCACGGCAGCAAGTGTCCTATGCGATCTGGAAGGGTCTCCAGCTCACTGCACTTGGTGATGAGCAGCTCCTCTAGCCCGGTGAAGGGTGATGCTGATGGGAAGATGGTGTCCAACTTAGGACAAGAAATGAAGAAGTTCAGCGATTTTAGGCAAGACGGCAGCATCACACTTGCAACACCCGCCGACTGATGGTTCTGGTGAGGGCCGAGAGTGGAAAGATGGGTGAGTCGTGGGAAACGTTAAGTACAGGGTGGTAAGAGCCGCAAGGTTTGCGAAACTGGGATTCTCTAAGACTGTAGCGTCAGTGAGAAGAAGCGTGTGCAAACGCCTCAACTGAAAGAAGGTACTTGGTAGCCTTGTTTCTCGGTCGAGACAGAAGAGGGTAACCAGCTCTAATTGGGGGAGCTTTTGGAAGAACAGATCCAGGCCCTCAGTAGTTATTGGATGAACCTCCTTTCTACGATAATGCTTAACTAGGCCGTCGAGGCCGAATGGCTGTTTCCGTGCAAAACTCCTTCCCACGTGAAGGGACACCAGCTTGGGGCATGACGAAGCTAGGTGAGCAAGGAAGGCGTCGTTGAGCGTCTCGGTGCTGTTGTCGCTAAGATGCAGATGGGTGAGATTTGAGAAGCACTCGAGGGCGACTGAGAGAACTTCGAGGGACACTACAACGTCCTTTTTAATAGAGAGCGTCGTCACGTGAAGCTTCGCTAAAAGACGCCAGCTACGGCAGACGGACGCCATGAGGAGATTCCGAGCCACGTCGGCGGCTGGTACAGGCTTGACTACTGGCCGAACATGAGTGGTCAAGTTGTTCAAGTGAGATTCGAGTGAAGCAGGCTGCTCTAAGGAGTGCGTAAGGATCTTAGCGAGGATATCGTCAGGTAAATCATAGATCGTCCGAGCCTCCATGTAGGGAAGTCGAGATACTAGGGACGCTAGACGTGCTAGGTGTATCATGCACTTCGAGACCCTGGCCTAAAGGGATCGCAAGAAGTTAATAGTAGTACCTAGAGAGAATTAATCGGAAATGAGTGGGGTGCTGAAAACAAGACATCGGCTGCGCGTGCTGTGGGACTCCGGTGCCTAGGGACTGTTCTGCCACGACGTAGCGTACCGTAGACTGCCATGGACTGTACTGGTTCTATCGATTTAGGTTTGGGTTGCTGTCAGAAATTGTGTGGGATGGAAGGAATGAGCGTGTGTTTTGTTAGACCTGACGGAAATCCGCAACGATCCCGGGTCGACCAAATTGCATCCGATAATTTGGAAAAACTCAAGGCGGGAATATTTAATTTCGCTTCCTCGAACCGACGACGTCAAGTTCGCTTCCATCCTTTTCGCCAATGCTTGTCCTCTGGAGCGTATTTGTATCTTGGCTCTGCTTGTAACCCTCGGCGATAAACACCTCACGGTCAAGGCGTGGTTCGACTTCAAGCGCACTTAGGGCGTGTAACAAAGCAACGAACAACTTACAAACCGTCGAACCACGCCTTGTAAGCCACATGTGAATTGCTTCCGACTTGATTCCCTAGTTGCCGAGCACTCTATTTTCAAGCTGCACCTCAGCAAGGAACTCGTCGCTGCGACAACTTTAGTAGAATTGTCTCAGAAAGAGTCGCATGCGAGGAGAGTTCTTTTTGGCGTGGACCATACGAGCGTGATTACTCTTGCGATTCGTTTCTTTTCTACATTCTCGATTTTTATAAAATACGATTTCGTTCGTGAATCATGGTCGGCTTTGGTAGTATCGCAGCTCGCATACACTCCGCCACTAGCACAGAAGCCCGAGCTATCACCTCGAGCAGCTTGAAAATATGCCCACCTTACGGCGCTTTCTGCGGCGCGACAGCGCGAAAGGCGTACGGGCAGCAGCATCATCGAGCCAGTTTAGAATATCATATGTTTTTAACACGCCAGCCTATACGTCCCCTCTTCGGCCTTTCGTTCTCGACGGAGTGCTCCTGACCGTGCTTCGGGTCCCCCGCCGAATTGGGAATCCGCAGTCCCACTGATGGGAACCCCGTATGCATCGTTCACATGGGCATCATCAGTCTCAAGAATTATCTGATGGTCCTGTCGCCTGCTTGGGCAAATCGGCGGCATCGACATCCCGGTTTAGAGAGTGGGGGAGGAGGGAGGGGAGTTGAGAGAGTGGGGGTTGGCCAAATGCTGACATCATGCTGGCGATCGGTCGGAGGCACTGTCTATTTCCCTTGGAGACTCTGTGGAGCAACGATGCGTTGCTGTAACTTGTAAGGACGGTGAGTGCGAGGGTAGCGAGGAGCAGAGGCGAGGTTGGGAAGATACACTATCTCTTCTGCCATGTGGCATATCATGTGATGGCACTCACACGGGTGTCACATCACGCCGTCCCCTGTGACTCACACCACATGCACGCCGTCGTCTTCTCTGAAGGCTCCACCTTCCCTGCCTATTCCCCCGTCCGCCCCCCATCACGCTCATATACTTGTGCTTTTCGTATCTCGTCCTCAATCCTCGCTTCTCTGCTCCCACCTCCCCACGGCTCCACATGGTAGTACACAGGAAGGGGGATTTTCCATTAATCTGCTTGCTCACGAGCATCTTGGCATGCCTACTCATCTTGTCGCTTCGCTTCGGATAGACTTGCAGGGAAGGGAGGATGCTGTGAGCGCGATTTCGCCCCATTTCGCAATTTCGCGTGCTCATCCTGACTTCTGTTCACGGAAACTCTTCATGTGCCGAATGGTTCGCTGCCCTCACTTGTCACTACTGACTGAACCCTCCGCCTCTTCTCTCTCATCCGTGCATATTCCGCATTCATCCACCATCACCGCTACTCTTCCCCCCCCCCCCCCCCCCCCCCCCCACCTCTGCACTGCCCCAGGTGGAGGAGGCCGGCAGCCCAGCCACTGTGAGGTGCCTCCTGTGAGTACGCAGAGGAATCCAGGATCGGGGTCAGTCCGATTGTGCTTTGGAATGGTAGGCTGCCTTTCTCTGCTCCCCCACCTCTGCACTGCCTCTTGTCTGTGAACAGCAAGGCCAATCCAGGATTGGGGTGAGTGCAATTGTAGACACAGCGGTCTGACTTCCTCTGCTTGCGGCTTTATCGTTTAGAATTTACTCTCATCACGTACGCTAAGGTAACTGCAATTATGCCCTGCCAACAAAACATGAGGGTTTGCTGTGCTCATTCTCACCAAGCAAACTAAACTTGCAGCCCATTTGACACATGAATGAAGAGGTAAATCTGTGAATACTACGCAGGATCCGCCGCAGCAAGCCTATAGGAGAATGCGAGGTGTGTTTTCTTCAAAGCGTGCCAGGAGTTTGGAATACGCATCCGGAGTTCCCACATGGAGTATGGAAGCATGTGATTTGATGGATGGATGGATGGATGGATGGATGGATGGATGGATGGATGGATGGATGGATGGATGGATGGATGGATGGATGGATGGATGGATGGATGGATGGATGGATGGATGGATGGATGGATGGATGGATGGATGGATGGATGGATGGATGGATGGGGAATGGATGGTCTGGAGGGATCTGCTGCAGCCACAGTTGGTCCTGGGTTTGGAAGTGGTGTGGTGCACGTTCATACCTGCTCCTCACATCTGTTAATGCACGCATGTGCATGCATCACTCTACCTACCTCCCATTCCCATTTCCCATGCCTTTCATCCCATCGCCTCCCCCACCCCGTGCCCAATCGCATGACCTAGTATCCGAGGCAACGGAGGCGGTTCCCCCCCTTCAGTTGGACAGCCTTGCCGGGCTGAAGCGCTTGGAACTCCATTGGCTGCGAGCAGACCACAGATATGCCTTGTCGCTTGCCTGGATTGCTTGAGGCTCGAGTCTCTGGAAACAGCAGAAGGTGCCATGGCAGCAGCACGACACCGCTCTGCCAGACATCTCCAAGCTGCTGAAGCTGTAAGAGCTTGATCTTACGAGTTGTCACCTTCACCGCCAAATCATGGGATTGCTGAGTGTCACCGATTTGTAGTGACATTTGCTCGTTCACTGACTTTAAACCAAAGCCAAAGTCTTCTCTTCTCATTTCCATCAGCATCTCTCTTTTCCCCCCTCTCCACATCGTTCCCTGTTCCTCCACCCCGCACTTCCATTATCCTCGCCTCCTTTCCTTATTCACTTCCGCCACCCCCTCCTCTCTTGCCCTCGTGTTACCCCGGTCCAATTAGCTTCTCCTTCGTGTTCGCAATCCACCTTGTCCCTTTTCCTTCTTTCGTTTCCCCTCCTTTCCCCTTGTGTTGCCGAGGCAGAACTGGATGATCGCTTGGCATGTCAATGTAAGATCCGCCTGACGGGATCCCCCCTTGCGCAAGATAAACATGACTGCCTGGTTGTCCACCCGGACGAGGACGTGAGCACCCACGATCCGAGTTGCGAACGTCCGCAGTGCCCAGAGCACTCCCTCGAGCTCTCGCCGCGTACTGGATGTGGTGAGGAGCCCTCGTGGCATGCACTCGCTTGCTTCGCATGATGTACTTGGGAACTTGGTCAAGGTGGCACCCCAGCTGTGTGCGCTTGCATCGACGTGTATCACGGCATCAAAACGCTGACTCTGGTGGAATGGGGCGCCATTGAAACGATCGAAGTGCATTGTCCAGAAAAGCAGCTCCTCTGTCGCTTCTGGTGACAATAGAACCTTTGAGTTCCATGACCACGCGGAGTCGATCAAGTGCAGCAGCTCATGGCTGAAGGCACGCGCCGTCGTGCCCAGCGCGAGCGACATGGAGCTGAGAAATCCAATGATCCGGGCTAACTTGCGAATCGGCACGTGGCGACCCGATTGCCCTTTTTGTATAAGTAGGTGGAGCTCATGCAGTAGTTGTTCGCGCCGATCTTTTCCGACGAGGAACATCCCTCGTTCCGTGTCAAGCTCCATCCCCAAAAAGCGCAAATGGTGTGCGGGATGCAGGTGTGATTTCTTAGAATTTATCACGAAGCCTGCCGCCTTCAGGTCGTGGAGAACTTCGATGCACGTCGAACGGGCTTGCGCCTCAGAGTCGCAGAGGAATAGTAGATCGTCCACGTATGGTATTACGCGCACTCCGCGCGCGCGCCATCTCTTGGCTAGTTGCTTAATGAGCTGGGTGAAGACGAACGGGGCTGTTGCCAGGCCGAAAGGTAAGGATGTGAAGCAATAAAACTTTCCACCCAATTGAAAGCCCAAAAACTTCCAGCACGACGGGTGGATGTCGACGTGGTGGTAGCCTGACTTGAGATCGATTGTGAACATCCAGTCGTTTGGGCGAATGATCTCCGCGACCCGACTCAAGCCCTCGTACTTGAACTTGGGAACTTGGAGGTGAGCGTTGACCTTCCGCAGGTCAAGGATAAGCCGACATTTGTCTCGTTGCTCCACAACATTGAGCGGGCTGATGCACGTAAGTGCGGCTTTCGACGAGACATACATCGCGGCGCCTGACGCGATGAGGTCGCTGACAGCGTCTTGGGTGAATGCCATGTGTGCTTGAACCCTTGCGTGATTAGGAGCTTCGAAGGGGAGAGGCTCCGCGCCCTTCCATGGTAGCCAGTATCCTTTGGCAATGATGGAAAGGATAACACTGCTGTTGCACCATGATAGCCACCAGTGGAGGCTGTTGCGCAATCGCATTCGCATTATGGACACCATGTTGTCCGTTATTGCGTGCTCGTATGGGTTCCAGTGAGCACTCTGCCACTCGCCTTCCACTTCTGCAATTGGTGGGCAACCGAGGTTGTGGGGGGGGAACGAGGATCAAGGTCGATTAGCCGCGAGATATTGCGAGACGCTTTGCGGGGTAACTATGTCGCTCATCTTCTACCGCCTTCGCGCCTCCCCGCACCCTCGTTTTTTTTTTTTTTTTTAACACTTCCCTTGAGCACTCATCAGCTTTGACACCCTTGCAAAGGGGCTTTGTTTTTTTTTTTTTTTTTTTTTTTGGATTGCCTTACAACGAGATCGGCGCATGTGCGTCACTTGGTCCCATGACCTTGTTCATCACGATGTCTGCGTGCCTTCTCTCTCTCTCTCTCTCTCTCTCTCTCTCTCTCTCTCTCTCTCTCTCTCTCTCTCTCTCTCTCTCTCGAATGGTCCTCGTATTGATTGATGGGTGATACATGGGAAGATGCAAACACAAGCATATACTAACATAACACACGGTTTTCCTAACTAACCTTGTCCCCTACATCCTCCCGCCCCCTTCGTCCGACCCTAGTGTGTCTCTCCTGCCAGGCACGCGCTCTTCAGCAGCAGCCACGCGCGACTGTACAACAGTCGCGCGTTCCTCAGGGGGGGTCCGAAGGGTGCCTCCGAGTAGGAGGTCGACCGCCGAGGGTCCCTCGCTTGAAATTTCTTCGGCGGGACGTTTTCCGCCGCGACGATCCGTTGTCCCGGCCGGGGTCGAGGTTTCCGCCGCGTTACCGGGGCTAGAAATATTCGAGTTGTCGCGGTTAAGTGCCGGGTTGACCGGGGCCATCGTTGCGAGGTTGCGCTTAAGGATGTCGTTAAGGAGCGTTGACGGGGCAGTGAAGCGCGGAAGCGACTGAGTCTTCGCCAGTGTGGACGAGAACGAAAGTAGAACTACAATTTTGAAAATGAAAACGTGGGTGGGGACGAATGTCCCCACGTCCCTCTTTTGTAGGCAAAAGAGGGTGAGTAGCGCTTCGACGCTACCTTTGCTGTGTTGGCCACGTACCCCTTTTCACAATACAAAATTTTAGAAAGTGTTACATTTCATTACACTTTCAAAAATTATCATGTCATGAAAGGGCCCCTACCCCTAGCAGACGTACTCTTCTTTTTAAAGTCAAATGTTTAAAATGTTCTGGAGTCGATTGATTTCACACAATGCAGAAGAGTTTGTGCATCATGTAGCAAGGTGCTTCTACCATTCTATGTCAGGTGAACCTGTGAATGATGGAGGCGACAATCACTCAACTTGCTAAGGTGACTCTTCTGATGTCTAAAAGGCTTATAGTTTCTACGTTATATCGGAGACTGTTTTGAGGATGAAATTCACGCAGGTTTTGCGTTGCGAAACTAGCCTTGACCCTTGGGTTTCGAAGTCCCCTCTTGCGAAGGGAATGAGCGCACGAAACCTGCGAAAACCCTAGAGAGCATGTCCTCGGAAAGCTGGAGCCTCTCAGCCCATTGTTTGGGCAAGGGAAACCACAACTGAGGAGACATCTCGTCGGATGGGTTGGAAGAAATTGCTCTCGCCATAACGTTTCAGATCGCTGAAGTGAGGTCTGGCCTTGTGAGCGCCACGAGTGTCGCGAGCTGCATGTGGAACTGACTGCGAGCTCGCGACTTAGTCAAGCCACGTGTAGACTCGAAATAGCTGCTGCTGAAAGCACGTGTCTAGCTGTGATAGCAATTTTGTTAGCTGCGGCACACGCATTCCGAGCGACCCAGCGTCATTCCAGGTGAGTGGACAGGCATTTGCAGAAACGGTCGCTGCTGGGGTTGTCTTAGCTTAGGCATGAAGAACACAAGAAACAGATCTTGACTGTCCTTCGGCAGTAGTATTCTTTACCCGTCGAAGCTGTGGTTTTTTTTTCCTCAAGTGAACTTAGCCTCATAACTCTGTCGAGGTTGTGTTGAGCTTTACTTAAGCTGCCAGTCGGTGCGTACGGCTGTCATCATGGCGTCTAGTGGAACCCACATCAACGATCTCCTCGACGACAACCTCCTCAGGATCTTATGGCCTTCCAAACCGTCGACCTGCAAATCTGAGAGCGATGATCTGTGGCACTCAGTGGGTCACAGGCCCACGTACCTTGTCGCGCACTCTACTCCAGAGCAGCCCTGGCGCAAGCGAAGGGATACTCCCATGCCGACCCCTCCTGCCTCCGCGGATGCCGCTCGGAACCTGTTCATTGCGTCCGTCTGCCGTCGCTGGCGGCGTCTCGTTCAGAGGCATGTCACAGCGCTGCTGGTCAAGGAGGACCGCGTCGTGTCTCGCCGCGATGTGCTCAACGCCGTCGCGTGCTTTCCCCATCTGACCCATCTCCATCTGGCGGATGGCAGTGTTGAAACGTTGGACGACACGTTTCTTGCTGACCTCGCCTCTTCGTGCCCTGGGTTGAGAGCGCTTCACGTGGGGAAGCTGATGATGAATGCGGACGAGCGACAGGACAGAAGGAATTAGCGCGTGATCTCCGAATCTGGCTTGGATAATTTCATCCGCCACTGCCCTCAACTGGAGCAGCTGTCACTGTACTGTCTTGAGGAAAATCTGAAGCCACCAGCTTCATTGTTTCAGCTTCAGCATCTCAGCATCCTTCTCCTCAACACTGATTTCATCTTGGAATCTCCAAACCTCAGCTGCCTTTCGTCTCTCACTGCACTCTCATTTGAAAACTTCCCCCTTCACTTCGAGCAACTTTCCAACCTCCTTCAACTCACGAACCTCATCCGCCTCTCCTTGCCTCTTGTGCTTCCGCCGGTTTCACCAGATCCGCCTGCCTTCTCACTCGCACAACTGCCTTTTCTCAAGTCGCTCAACTTTAGGCTGCTTGATCTACAGTTTAGCGTCTTCTTCCCTCTTGGATCGCCATACAGGTTTCTGAAGCACCTGCAGCTTAGCAATTCCTTGATCCAGCGACTTCCAAGCAGTATAGGACAGGTGCTGCCACGCCTCCAGGAGCTCAGCATCAGCGGGTGCAGAATATTCAGCGATCTGACAGACGAGTTCACCTCGCTCACCTGCCTGGAGAGCTTGACCATTTCCTCATGTCGTGTGTCCACTATGCCCGACAACTTCGGGAATCTTCCAGCCTTGAAGGCACTGGTGCTACACGAGCTGCCGCTTCTCCGTCTTCCTGCATCCTTCACCCGACTCGCATCTCTGGAGTCGTTGCTTCTGGTTGGGTGTGGAGAGGTGGAGGGGCTACCTGCAGGGTTTGGCCGCCTCACAGCACTCCAGACTCTGAGTGTGGCATGGTCGTCCACCCTCTTTCCAGAAGACTTGGGTGGCTTGACCAATCTGCGAACCCTTTATTTTCGGTACAGCAGGCAAGAGCAGCTGCCGTCCTCATTCACGCAGCTGACTTCGCTGACCCGGTTGGAGTTGGATCAATGCGGGATAGCAGAGCTGCCAGAGGGCATGGCGGAGATGACACACCTGCAGGAGCTCTACATTCAGGACTGTCATTTCCTCAAGGAGCTTTCGGGAGTTGTGACAGCTCTCATCAGCCTTGAAGTGTTGAGGATTGAAGAGTGTAACAATCTCTCCTCGATTCCCAGGAGGCTTGACAGCCTTATTAAGCTGACGCAGTTAGGGGTGAGGGGCTGTTACTGGCTGAATGAAGCCCCTCAGGCTCTGCCGCTCAGTCTCCAGGCCTTGTCCTTCGTTACCAATGAGCACGCGGCATCTTTGCCAGACATTTCAACACTCACAGGGCTGAGGGAGCTGTGCTTGGGCATTGTTGATGCAACCTGTGTTGAGGCCATCAGTGCCCATCTCTGCGGTGTGAAGCACCTGGAGCTGGAGCTGGAAGAAGATGCAGAGGATGCTCTGTCCCTGCTGGCAAGGCTTCCCCTCCTCCGCACCTTGACACTCAAGGGCGTCCGCAGTGTGAACAATTTGGTGGGAAATAACGACTCGGCGTTGCTGGAGCTACGGCAGCTGAACATCAGAACCTGGTCTGAGAGATTCACAGAGCTACCTGCAGCCATCACCACTCTCCACCACCTGACATCCATTCAAATCCTCGCTCCGATGTTATCATCTCTCCCGGACGGCCTTGGGGCATTGTCAAGGTTGCGCAAGCTGGACTTATCCCACTGCTCATCCCTCACGCAACTCCCTGCTTCCCTCACGCACCTCTCTTGCCTGCATGAGCTGAACGTGAGCAATACCAGCATCCGCCTGCTTCCTGCTGGCTTTGCTAACCTCAGCAGGCTCAAGAAGCTTGATCTGGATCAATGCGAGCAGCTGGAGGCTCTGCCTGACGACATATCGGATCTTAGAATGCTTGATTTCTTGTCCACTAGGGGGTGACATGCTCCAACGCTGAAGGTTTTTTCACCTCTCATAAGCTTAGGTTCGTAGTTTGTGTAAGTGCATGCCAGCATGCATACTGAGGCTCCACTACAGACAGTCTAGCATACTTCTGAAGTGGTTTAGAACCTTTTTCATTTGAATTTTAAAATTTTGTACAGTTGCTGAGTCATTGAACTGCTTTCCTTCCTTGGTAGGTAGCGAGGATATGAGGATAGATGATGCTGTGAGAGATGATAAGAGGCTATGGGTGCAGGGAAGTGCGAAAGTAGAGAGGAAGGGGACACAAGTGGAAGGCGCAGGGGGGAAGGGGGAAGATGTTGCGTGGGGAGAGGGTGAGGAGAAACGGGAGGAAGAAGGGAGGGGGGGAAGAGTGGGGGGGGGAAGAGTTGGGGGGGAAGAAAGGAAGTTGGGATGTGGGGAGCTTTTTGGCTTTGTGCAGTGGCCATATCTTATTGATATTCAAGAAGGTTTAATTGCAGATAACGGTAGATCAGGTTATGTATTGCCATCTGATGTGCTGGCAATTGATATGTTTCCCTTTCCCCTTCACCCTCCTGCCACTCCCTGTTTTTGTACCGATTTTCTCTCTCTGAACAACCTTCCCATATCCCCCCCTGGTTTTCGTCACCTGCCTTTCTCCTCATTGTGCAGCACTGCCAGCATGCTGTGTCTTTCACCCGAAGCCACCTCACTCAGCTCCAATCCTGGTTTGCCACATTCAGGCCCTGTCACGTGTTCATGCTCAAGGGCCAACGCCATCCACACACGACCATGCAGGACAGCACATCATCATCCATGCAAGACCATCACAATTCCTCAATCCCCATGATCGTGGTACACGTTTATGCATGGTTACGCACATGCATGCATGCGTGCACCAACCATACATAAACACCATCTATCATACTTGAATAATGGTGCGTCAAACGACTGTGCCATGAATCCTTTCATCTAATGAGCACTCGGGTGAATGCGGAGGTATTTTTTTTTAATATATTCTGGCACTTTTTCTTGGCACTGTCTCGAACCCTCCTTCCATTCCCTAATACCCTCTTCGCATTCGTGCTTCATACAACCCTCCCTCTCCCCTCCTTCACCCCTTTTTACTCACTGCCATTCCAGCAGCACCCATCGTGAGCATCATAATACCGAGGCTCACAGGTGATGGTGAGGCTGCTCACAGGTAATGGTGAGGCTGCCTGGAGGTGAAGGTGATGTGCTCCCATACTCTGTATTCTTATCATACCCCCCACTCCACTCATAACCCCCCACTCCTCCCATACCCCTCACTCCTCTCATACCCCCCTCCTCTAATTTCCAACACTCCCTCAGACCCCATTCCTCTCACACCCCTACTCCGACTCCTCTCACTCGCTACAGCCCCGCCATACGTACGATCCCCTCCCGTCCCCAAACTCTCTCCCTTCCCCCACGCCTCCCTCTCCCTCCACCCCTCTACCCCAGCACGGATAGCCGCCCCTAGGTTGCGGTGCACTACCAAGCAAGGCACTGCCACCTCCGCTCCCCATGCCCTCCCTTCCGCTACGGCACAATGGGTAGTTGATGGGGCGAACTGTGTGGCCTGCTGATTGCCCCCGTGGCTGCTGAGTGCCCCTGTGGCAGTTTTCTGCTGGGAAGGACAGAAGAAGGAAGGAAGTGGGAAGGAGGTTTGCGGTTCGAGGAAGGAGGTGAGCTATAGTGGGACACCGCAGCTGGGCACTGCTGGGTGTGTGGGTGCTGGGAGGAACATTCATCACCGGTGGTTCAGTAGGTGCATTGTTCGCAGTCCACTCTCCAGCCCGCCACCTTCATTGTCTCTTGCTGGGGTACGTTCCAAGGGTAGGGAGGATACTGGGCACGGCGGAAGCCACCGCCCCTGGTTTCAAACCATGGTTCCTCTTGTCAATTCTTTCCTCCCACCAGGTTTCTTCTTGGGGTCGCACTGGGACGAGATGTGTGCAGCCTCTGAAACGGATAACTCATGGCGATACACTTTGTAGGTCGCTCACAAGTCAAGGCAGCTGAGGAGCTCTTGAAGTGGAGAGCCTTGAGAGCACGTCCTTTCTTTCGTTACTTTATCTCGGATTGCTCCCCTCCTATGACGTCACACCACTCCGTTTGACACCAATCCGTCTCGCCCCAATCCATCTCGCACACTCCACACCACTCCATCCCGCATAAGTTTTTCTCAAAACACTCCACACCACTCCATCCCGCATAAGTTTTTCTCAAAACACTCCTAACACCACTCCATCTCACTCACACACTCCACACCAGTCCTTTTCACATCACACCTTTCACATCACACCTTTTCACATCACACCTTTTCACATCACACCTTCTCACAACACACCTTCTCACAACACTCCTCACCCCTCTCCTTCCCACACCACTCCTTCTCACACCACTTTTGATCGTTGTTGTGTGGGAGTGGAGGAACCTGGGATGGTTTGGTGAGTTCGTTCAGCGAAATTTCCTGATTCTTGAGTCACAAAGCAGGGTCTGCATGGGCGCGAGGAAAAGGGCAGGCTGTCAAGGTGTGTGAGGGAGGTGTGACGGGCTGGTGGAAGAGTGGAGGGCCGCGAGGTGTGGGTAGATGGGGGTGGAGTGGAGGATAGAGAAAAAGAAGAGGGGGGGAACTGGTTGAGGCAAGAAGGATGCAGAGAGAAGGAATGGGGACGAGCAAGAGGAGGGCCACAACAAGGAGGATGAAGAGGTAGAGGAGGATTGGGCGGAGCTGCTGGAAGGGGCAGCTGGTGTGGTTGGGGAGGGCGCAGGCGGTGGTGGTGGTGACAGCCCCGTGAGTGTGCTGGTGGATGGTGGCAGGGCGGGCAGCAGCGGTGTGGGTGGTGGTGGTGGCATGGAGGGAATGCAGGAGAGCCAAAGAGTTATGAGTGCAGCAAGAGGAGGAACTGGGTGCAGATTTGCGCATCACTTGACATGGGTGAGTGTTGCCACACCGCACATACTTCCGTCATGCACCATTGTTCATTATCCTGAATAATCCTTCCCAGCTGTTTTTTCTATCACTGTTCGCATTGTTTCGTGCTGTTATATTGTGCATTGACATAGTCCATTTCACTTCTACGCACGGCTGTTAATTTTGCTGCTCATTGCATCAGGTAGGTCCCTTTAGTGCAGAAGCGATGCAAGACAGAGAGGCGAGGGAGAGTGTCAGTCGGGCTAGGGAAGGGGAGTGCGTCAGCAGTAAGTGGTTGTTTCTACTGCAATACTAGAGAGAAGTGCCATGGCTTTGATTATTTAAATGTGCCATCATTCGTGTGCCATGATACTCCTTGCTCAGACGTTTCTACCTGATCTCCTCTTAACTTTCCTGCAGGAGCCATTCCATCCCAACCTCTGTTCCAGGTAGAGGTCTGCATGCTCCTCTATGTACAGCTACATGCATTCAAATGCAGGAACCCGTTGTGCACGAGGGCACTCGAGGAGCTCCAGGCGTGCGAGCGATGCCAGCTGTGTGAAGGAGGGCAGCAGCAGAGGACGTGCCCTGTGCGATTCAAGGAAGAGTGTATGCAGGTTGGCGAGTCCTCTGATGTCGCCAGCGCCAGCCGCGCCCATGCCTGCTGCCGCACTCACGCGAGCGCCTGCCGCGCCGATCGCGACCTGCTGCAACGGCTGACGCCGTGGGGGGGAGGCTGCGGGGGTGACCGTGCGTGAGCCTACAGCGCCAGCCGTTGCACCTGTCGCCGCCTTCCGCCGCTGCACCTGCCGTCGCTGCACCTGCCGCCGCTGCACCTGCCGCCGCTGCCTGCTGTAGCTGCCGCACCTGCCGCTGCTGAATCTGCCACCACTGCACCTACCAGTACCGCCGCTGCACCAACCTGCCGCTGCATCTTCCGCTGCACATTTCCCTGATTCTGCTGCACCTCCTGCTACAGCGGTGCACCGTGCACCCCTTCAGGAAGTGTTTTTGTTACCAGTTCTTGCTGCAGGCAGGGTTGGCTTGGCAGCACTTTCATATTTGCCGAGTGTAGCTATTTGCCCTTCCCTCTTGCTTGTAATTCTTCTCCTCTTTCTAGTGAAACCCCTCTTTCCTCTTCCTAACTTCATAAGATGTTTGACAATATCTTGGTCTGCCACCGACCCGCCGCTGACTGGACAAGATAATGAAAGCACATAAAGGGCAAGAAACAAGCATGCTGGGGATATGCAGTGAGTGGAGTCACCTATCCCACCTTGGATGCATCCAACAAGCTCTTTAGCACCCGAGAAAAAATCTGGCAGATTATTAACGTATCACTCCGAGTAGTTATAAAAGGTCTTAGCAATACGCAACCCACGCATGTTGTCAAGACACTCAGTGTCAAGGTCATCAGCGCACCCTGTGATGGTTAAGCTGTGAAGCATCTTGAGCTGGGAGATATCCCTTGGCAACGCTACCAGCTGCTTACACCCATGCAGGTCAAGAGTCTTCAGCCGACGCAGCCGTCCAAAGTGGCGAGGCAGGGAGTGCAGGGAGGTGCAGCGCAGATTCAGGTCGTGCAGGCACGAGAGCTGCGTCAGAGACGCAGGGAGCTCCGCAAGTGCTGAGCAGTTGGCCAGATTCAGCCGGCGCAGTCGAGACAAGGCGCCGATGCCATCCGGTAGAAAGGAGAACTCGGGAGCATGGATCTCAATGGATGTGAGGCAGTGCAGCGCGGTGACACTCTCTGTGAGCTCCCTCAACTTGACAGCCTGGTTGATGTGAATGCGCTGCAGTCGCTGCAAGACTTGAACGTACTTCTTTGGAAAGCTCTTGAGGCGCCCAGCAGTTGCGATTTTGAGGGTGCGGAGGTTGGGGAACAAATCGAGGGGCAGTGGGAGGTCCTCCGCCTCGCCCACCAGCGACATCTCCACGTGCTCCACGGCCGGCAGTGCCATGCCCGGGACCAGCCCGCGCATGCAGCCCACACTTATGAGGCTCAACCTCCTCAGCCGAGGCAGAGCAGGGAGTTCCAGAAAAGGGGTGAGGCGCTGGTAGGTTCCCAGGGAGAGAACCTCGAGGGAGTGTGGCAGCGATGGCAAGAGCTGGGGCAGCTGAGGGAGCTTGGCGAGCGCCAACTCCTTGAGGCGTGCAAGGCTGCTCAAGGTGGTGGGGAAGGACGAGAGGTTGCGGCAGGCGCGCAATTTGAGAAGCTCCAGCTTGACGAGGTCCGTGAGGGAGTCGGGTATCGCCGTGATGTCCGAGAAGGGCTGGATGATCAGCTCCCTCAGGTTGCTCAGCTTGCCCATGTCCCCTGGCAGCTCCACTATCCCACACTCCACCAGCTCCAGCCTGGTCAGCGAGGTCAGGTGCGTGAAGGAGCATGGAAGCAGCTGCTGCGGGAAACTTGAGCTGAGATGGAGCGTGTGAAGGCTGGCCAGCCCGCCTATGTCGTCTGGGAGCATCAAGTATGGGCACTTGAGAATGTAGAGGCACCGCAGGGCTGTCAGCTCACCGAATGCTGCAGGAAATCTGAAAGAGGTACCGCAGTGGAGCAGGTTGAAAGTCTCCAGGGAGGTGAGCTGGAGGAACGACGCTGGAAGGCCGCTGATGCGCACGTGCGACAGCGTCAGGGTCTTCAACGCGGGCAGCCATCCAAAGCTCTCAGGCAGTGTGACGAGGCTGCACGAGGAGATGGTGAGCCTCTCCAGGCAGCTGAGGGCGGTGAGCTGCTCGGGCAGCTCCGACAGCTTCTTGCACTCGCAGATGCTGAGGTCTCGAAGGCGTGGCAGGCGCTCGCCCATGTCGTCAGGGAGACGCTCCAGCCCGTCACAGCCTTGGAGAAGCAGCCGCTTCAGGTGGCTGAACGAGAGTCCTGGCGGGAACAGCACGTCGAATGGTGGGCTGCACGGCTCGAACTCGAGTGCTCTCAGCGACGGCACCTGCGCGAGCGAGAAAGGGAGTTCGTCGATGCTTCCCCGTTGGTTCCGCGTCGCGTTGGACAAGGAGAGGGTGGTGAAGGCCGGGAGCCGAGCGAGGGTCGCGAAGTCGAGATCCGCATCCTCGGGAATGTCGAGCGCGAGCGCCGTGAGAGACGTCAACCGCGTGAATCCCGGGACCTGGAGAGGTACGGCGTGCATCCCAAAATGTGCGGGTTTCGATTCTTACGTAGGAGCAGCTGTAGAGTAACTTTTCCGTAAAATTTCCAAGACCTACCTCAAAGATTGTGGCCAACATTCCTGCTAGTAACTTCGGTTGGAATTGGCTCGAAAGAATCTTCTTGGAATTTGTTTTTGCCCAATCGCATCTACGCGTTTTGGAAAAGATACTATCTCGTAAGTATGAACTGGTTTGACCAATCCCATCCCGTTGTTGCCGAGGCTGATTGTTTTGTTCTGGGAAGCAGCGATTCGAGTTTTCGCGTTGTACGTTTTCCCGCGTAAAATGAAACCGAATGAATTTCATGCACGTGACATGTTCTAATTCGTCCGGTTCTGACACAATCGATGCCATTAATAAGTGGGATAGACTTTCGCCGTACATTTCGTTTTTCAGATGTCGGTAAACATATACTTCATTTGTGATCATATCGAATTGCTTTAAAAGTATTACATTTGATAAAACAGTAAAATTCATTAAACACTCGAAGCAAACATAAATTTACGTACGAAAAGGTTTTAAAAACCTGCAATTCTACGGTGCGCAAATGGATATTAAAATTTACAGTTACATGAATTTTAGCATTCTATATTTATAACGTTACAAGAAAGACATTACACCAGAACCACAACACAATGCAAGACAACACTATTACAGGTGCTGCACCTATGAACCATACAATATAACTATACAAGCTAACGTTTATTTACATACAAACGTGGATAACAGCCTAGCTTGCCCCACCTTGCCAAGGTATGCAGCGCGAAGTATCATGCGTGTCAAGAACTTTATATGAACGATTGTATTGGGAGAGAACAGGGAGGTGAGGAGGGTGTGAGGGAAAACCGTAAGTACAGAGTGGAAAAAAACATGGGGGGGAAGTCTGAAGGATGGGAGAGAAAACCAGTCACAGTCGGCACATTCCAAGCGAGGCATATTTTCTGGGGGGGCGACATGCAATAACATGGAATGACGAACTTACCGTCAACGCCACTTCCGGCGGAAGATATGTCAGAGGTCCACTGGTGATCCCCGATTGATCCTTGGGAAGGGTTACAGGCTCGTTGTCCTGGGGAGTTATGGGCGCACTGACCCGCTACTTAACAAGCCCTTTTATCCCAGTGGTCTAGTGGCTGTGATTCTGACATGGTATCAGAGCGAAGGTCTCGGGTTCGAATCCTAGTGTGTGTACTTCGGGCATCCCAGTGCGGGGGGGTGTCAGAGGTCCACTGGTGATCCCCGATTGATCCTAGGGAAGGGTTACAGGCTCGTTGTCCTGGGGGGTTATGGGCGCACTGACCCGCTACTTAACAAGCCATTTTATCCCAGTGGTTAGTGGCTGGGATTCTGACATGGTATCAGAGCGAAGGTCTCGGGTTCGAATCCCAGTGTGTGTACTTCGGGCATCCCAGTGCGGGGGGGTGTCAGAGGTCCACTGGTGATCCCCGATTGATCCTAGGGAAGGGTTACAGGCTCGTTGTCCTGGGGGGTTATGGGCGCACTGACCCGCTACTTAACAAGCCCTTTTATCCCAGTGGTCTAGTGGCTGTGATTTGTGAAAAGGAGAACGCGAATGAATGAACTATGAATGAAGTGAGTACATATAGGAAACCCTAATTGGGTTGTACCCCCTATGGGATACCCCACTATAGCCTACACAACAGCATAAGCTATATAATGTTCTGACACACCCCCATAGGCAAAGTGGGGGAGAACAAGGGGTCACAAGACCAGTCACGCAAAGCACAGCAAGCTCAGGGTGGATCACAAAGTCACCACACAGTCCGAGCACAACGACAAGGCCACAAGGCCAGTTCACATGCAGGAGGACACATATATATATAGAGCTAGACAAGCAAGAGCAGGTATATATATGTGACAGTACAAGCAAGGTCAAGAGGAGAGCAAGTGAGGCAAGACAGGTACAAGACCCAACTGAGTGCAGAAGCGCTGATGGTCACAAGGCGCAAGTGCCTTGGTGAACACATCAGCAGTGTTGGCCTCAGAGGCCACGTACGCAAGTCGCAACTGACCACGCTGCTGCAGCTCACGAGCAAGAAAGTAACGGAGAGCAATGTGCTTCGTTCTGTGCTCCAAGCGCTGCTCTCGACACAAGGCCAGCATGGCCTTGTTGTCTACGTACAGCACTGGAGGAGAACGAGGCTGCTCTCCAAGGTCAGTCAGCAGGTAGGTGAGCCAGCGAAGCTCCTGTGCAGCCATGGCCCCGGCGTAGATCTCAGCCTCACAACTGGAGCCGAGAACAGAGGACGAGCGAGTAGCCCGCCACGAGACAGAGCCGGAACCAAGACTGAAGGTGTAACCCTGCGACGACCGCTGCGTAGCCTGGTCGTCAGCCCAAGAAGCGTCCGCGTGCCCAGTGAGGACCACTGGACTCCGCCCTCCAAGCACTAGCCCCATGCCCGACGTACTGCACAAGTAGCGCAACACCCTCTTCGCTGCAGCCATGTGCTCTGGTCGGTGTCTCCCAGGAGCAACATAGCGTGCAAGAATGCTAAGAGGGTATGCAAGGTCAGGTCGTGTGCAGGTCATCAGGTACATGAGGCAGCCAACAAGCTCTGGGTACGGGCCACTCGACTCTACGGACTCATCCGAAGGCAGAGCTGAGAGCGAGTGGCGAGTAGACAGAGGAGTGGCCTGAGGCGAGGAGTACGTGAAGCCGAAGCGCTGAAGGACCTGCTGCACCATGTGTGACTGAGTCAAGGTAATGGTGCGGCGTGCTCTGTCCCGAGTGATCTGCAAGCCAAGGTAGCTGCGCAGTTCACCCAGGTCTGTGCACGTGTGTCTCTTCTGCAGCTCGGACTTCACGTAGGCTAGTCCAGCAGTGTCAGCTGTGGCAAAGACCAAGTCGTCGACGTACACGAGGATGTAGAACGGCGGCAAAGAAGTGTCGGTGCGCAGAAACAACGACGGGTCAGCAGTAGAGGGAGCAAACCCAAGAGCCACTCACGCGGTGCCTGGCGGAGACCGTAGACTGGCCGTCGGAGGCTCCACTGGGTGCCAGGAGGGAAAGTCCCAGTGAAGCCAGGTGGACGGCGCAGCCAGATCTCCTCGTGCAGGCTACCCTGCAAGAAAGCAGTGCTGAAGTCAAGAGAGTGGAGCTCGTAGTCGCGCTGAGCGGCTATGTGCAGCAGCACCCGAAGAGTGGTCATCTTCGGGGTGGGAGAGAAGGTCAGAAAGTAGTCAACTCCCTGCCGCTGACTGAAGCCACGAGCGACGTACCGCGCCTTGAAGACAGGTGGAGAGCCCGGCGGCCGCTTCACCCTGAAGATCCACATGCCACTGACGATGTTCGCCCCAGGAGGGGGCACCGCGTCAACGTAGGTGCCTGTGGACTTCCAGGACGCCATCTCTGCATCCATAGCTGCCTGCCACTGAGAGGAGTAGGGACCCTCTACGGCCTCCGCGTAAGAGCGCGGAGTCGGGATGTCTAGTGCATCCGGGTCTCCCTCAGGGGCAAGTAGTACGGACGCGAGATGAGGTGAAGCAGCAGCCAGACACTGGAACTCCTCCTGCCTGTCCTCAAGGACGTCCGTGCCAAGAGCACACTCACCCCCGACGGACGGAGGACAGACAGACGCAGACTCAGCAACAAGACCGGCAGCGTAGTCTAGACTACAGCGAGCAGCAAAGTCGACGAGCTCAGCAACAAGCGCAGACGCAGCAGTGGACTCAAAAGAGGGGTCAGTGACGACAGTAGCAAGGAGACGTGTGACAGTAGGACTAGCAGCACGAAGAGAGTCGGACTCTGGGTCGGTAAGTGCAGGAAGGGAGGACTCAGGAGGAGAAGGCAAAGGGGCACGCAGAGGAGCAGTGGACGGACGCAAAGACATCCGGTGCGTGCCAGGGACAGGAGGAGGACGCTGACGCGAACCGCGACCACTAGCGCGAGCAGCACGAACAGGCGACGCAGGACGAGACGCAGGCTCACGACGCTCAGCAAGACCTCCAGTGGGACCAGTGTAAGGAGAGGGAGCAGGAAGTGGGGAGGCGGGCTCTAACTGGGACTGTGACCGAACAGGCGGTGGACACGCTGCAGGAGGAGAAAGACCAAGAACCTGCTGTAGGAGTGGAACGAAGTACGGCCGAGGCCGCGCGGCGACTCCAGACACAGCAGGGAAAGCACCCTCAGCAGCAGCACCAGCGCCAACAGCACCTCCAGCGGCAGGACCTCCAGCAGCACCAGCAGCACCCGCAGCAGGACCACCGCCAGGAAGGACAGCAGCAGTCTCAGCACCAACACCCGCAGCAGCTCCAGCTCCAGGCGGACCCGAGGGCCCAGCAGCTCCGGGACCAGCGGCACAAGTACCCTCAGCAGCCGAAGGAGCTCCAGCTCCAGCAGTACGTCTCCAGCGGCGAGCAAACCACTCGCGCAGCTCCTGTGGAGAGAGGGGCTCCCGCCGAGGCGAAGCACCCGGAGAACCGCCAGGTCCCGCACCGCCAGACGCCACAAGGGGAGGTCCAGTGGCCGCAGGCTCCGCAGCTCCAGGCTCAGCAGCTCCAGACGCAGCACCCCCTGGCTCAGCACCCCCAGTCGCAGCACCCCCAGGCTCAGCACCCCCAGACTCCGCACCCCCAGGCTCAGCACCCCCAGTCGCAGTACCCCCAGGCTCAGCACCCCCAGACTCAGCACCCCCAGGCTCAGCACCCCCAGGCTCAGCACCCACGCGCGTAGCACCCCCAGAGTCAGCACCTCCAGGCTCAGCACCCGCAGCAGGACCAGAGTCACCAGCAACCTCGACCGGCTCGACTGCGTCTACCTGGGACACACCTGAAGGGGCAGGACCCTGAGGGGGAAGGGGGTCTACCGGGGGGGGACCTGGCACAAGGAAGTGCGGTGGCGGGGGGAGGGAAGGAGTGCGGTAGGGGAAGAGGCGGTAGAAGGGGACTGACTCGTCGAATGTGACGTCCTGGGAGGACAGAACACGACGAGAGGAGGGGTGGTAGAACTGCCACCCTGGGG